GGCACTTCGTGATGAATTTCTCTAGTCTATAAAGTGAGACCGTGTCATGATAGTCACAATGAAGAGCAAAGGCAGGTAAGACTGAATAGTCAGCGAGGAGTCAGGACAGTGTTTGAATGCTTATGCTGAAAATGTTGGGCTTTTCTTCTCTAGACAATAGGGAATTTTTGAAGGTTTATTAAATGGGCCAAAAGGCATAAGACAGAACAGAGGGGGGAAAAGCCAGGAAGCTGAAGCAAAGAACCATGCCAATGCCCCAAATCAGGCTGTGTCAAAACAAGATCAAATTACTGTTTTGATGTTAAAGAAATGGTTTTGCACTAAAGATCAAGATGCCTAGAAGTGTGCTCCAGAGAGTGAGGACAGGGTCCCGTTTGACCACCACATGTGAGTCCCCCGCTGTTGCCGCGGGTACCGCTGCCAGAGGACAGTGTCTTATGAGAAGGCCCTCCGAGGATACTTTCCAGTTACACCACACATACAATGACACATATCACACACACACACGCACATATCACACACACACACATGCACACCCAGAGGCAGGTGCGTACCGACAGGCTGCCATCCTTCTGTGATGCCATCCCCTCAAATTAAAAGTGAGCTATCACATTCTGCATCCTTAATATACGTAGGACATGGGATCACTCCACTTACAATACTTGGAAGACAGAGTTGAAAGCAATGAATCCTTTGGAGGAATTACCGTATTTCTTAACTTTCACCTTTTCTCACCTTACAAGAATTGTCTTATGAACATGTTGTCCATATCAACAGGCTACCAATTAACTTTGGGCATATCAAGTGTATCTTTTATATTTATCATATTTTCATTTGGTATGTAGATGTTATATGAATTTGTAAAAAGGGTAGTTGAAACTACTTGTTTCTCTCAAAAATAAAGTAATTTGAAATAAAGTTTACTAAATATCAACCATTTAAAGAATCATAAATAATGGAAATTGTTCTCTCAGAGCCCATATAAAAATTTCTCTTGCTCACTAAAAGGAAGGTATTGAACATATATTATTATATAAGGGATAACGTGAAAATTATTTCCATAAAATATGTATACAAATTGTAATTAAACTTAAAAACTTCCATTTTAGTTTTACCTTGAATATGCATAAACTATTAAATGTCATAACTAAATAAAATATCCATAGTTATAACATATGGAGTTAATATGTTTTGTGTTGATTTATCTCTTTTATGAACAGATGACAGTTAAAAATAATATTATTTTCACAAATCGGGAAACTCTTAATGTGTGTAATCCTATGCAGTAGCCTATATTTCTAAGTAGTAGCTCCTTCTGACTTCGGTCATGAGTTCCGCGTTTGCACCTGTCACTTTGCTGACAAATTCAGGAGGATCTCTTGAAATCCTGGCGACGTTCTGGAGGCCGCCTCTTTTGGTGGGTCCAGCAGCAGGCCTTTGCTTCTGTCTACCAGTAGGTGGAGCAGACAACATAATTTATCACCCGAGAACAAGGACAGCGGAATGAAAGCCCGTTTATTTGGAATAAAACAAATCTGCAAATGAGATTTTCTTCAAAGGAAGTATGTCTGATATATGTTAGATTCAGTTTGACTGGTTACTGAATCAAAATAAATAACTTTATTAAATAATCAATCTTTGCAGAAAGATAAATTAAATTTACAAATGAAGGCAATGTTTGCATTTTACTTATTCAAATCAACTAAAATTAGCCTTCTTTTCATAAAACTTTTACAGGGACAAAGACTGTTTGATGTGCTCACTTAATAAGGGCGCTAAACCCAACGCTGTTTTACAGGTGATGGGGTGCATAGCAAAGAGTATTTTCTGGGAAATATAATTGACTAATCCTATTATGTCTGTAGCAACAAATTAACCTTATTACTACTAGTAAATCGTGATTGATTATTTATGCAAATAAGTTTCCACGTTCAGCTTTCTGATTGAAGTAAACATATACAAAAAGGGTTTTAATATGACTTGAACTTTTTAATTAATAAAACCCTGAGGGGTCTATTAATTCGTTCATTGTTATATTAGTTATTTAGTTGTATAATTTATATTTGTACTAACATTTTGCTTGCATAAAGATGAGATAATTAATATCAGTAAAAATAAGTAATATATTTTAGAACCTTTAAGATATACATTGGATTTGTACTAAAAATGAGCTTAAAACTGACTAGAAAACTATGCTATCAATATGATTATATCAATACAACTGTCCTAAAATTATTAATATATTAAATAATACATGATTTTGTTTATATTCTATGTCTGAATTTACAAATACAATTTTGGCTTACAAAAATGTTCACTTTTTCTGAAGCACAATTTGTCTAAATTAATGCATCATTTCTACTCATCTAAGTTAAATTATATTAGAACTACGAAAGTTTAATATAAAGTTAGTTTTCTACAAACTAGATTAAAATCATTTCTAAATTATTGAAACCATCCAAAAAAGGTGTTCCTCTCCTTGCTAAAATGCTATTAGAATTATTGTTTTAAGCAGGCTTAACAAAGGAGTTCTTATCCTACTTCTTTTTTAAAAAAAAATTGTACTTATTGATTTTAGAGAGAGAGGAAGTAAGGGAGGGGTGGGGGAGACAGAGAGAAAGGGAGAACCATTATTGGATGCTAAGCAGGTCTAGAGGCAAGCGATCACTCAGCTGAAGTCTGCCTACATTGGTATTATCAGCACGGTACAAACAAGGAGGAAAAAGGTATAGAGCCTTGACTGCTTGCGTTTGTTAACACTCACACACCTAAAACACAATGGTTGTGCTATATGAAAATTCATTAAGACCCATGAGTTGAGTCTCCTGTGAAATAATTTGTGAAATCAAGCCCTTCGTTTTAAAACTAAAATGAAATCAAAATAGTTGAAAAAGAATGCATACAAAGTGTCTGTCACCGTCTCTGGCACATGGTAATCATGCCGTGGATATTGCCTATTTCGTTATTTGCATTGGCAAAACAACCAATTCTTTTTTTTATTGGTGTTCAGTTACGGTTGTCCCCGTTTTGCCCCCATTCCTCCCCCCCCCGCCCTACCCACCCCCATGTCCCACATTCAACTAATTCTTTATGAACTTTTTCAGTTATTCCACTACATACTCACTGTCTAGGTCACCCTGGTTAAAACAAAATGAGTAAATGTTTCAGTTAAACTACCCATCGTAAATATAAAGAAAACAATTAGAACTCAGATTAAGAAAGATTCCAAGCTTTGGGTTGGCCAAAAAGTTTGTTTAGGTTTTCCTGTACAACGGCTCTAGTAGTGCTTAGTTGTCTTTAACTTCATTCAAAACAGTTTTGCTAGACTGTATTGTGACAGCTGTTGTATCAGCCTGCATTAAAAAAAAACTTATCAACATGGGTGAATTTTTGTGCAGCTATTTTAATATTGAAGATCGAAGAAAATACCTAACATTTTGGCATATTATGCTGTATTATTTCAAGAAAGATAAAAACACAACTGAAATGAATGAAAAGTTTTGTGCAGTATATGGTGAAGTTGCTGTGACTGACCAAACATGTCAAAAGTACTGAAGTTTGTAAAGTTTCTTGGTACTATTAAAATTTTGGCCAAATAATCCTTTGCTGTGGGGCTGCCTTATGCATTGGAAGATGGTTAGCAGCACCCCTGGCCTCTACCCACGAGAAACCAATATCGGGAGATAGCGACATACTCAAAATATCCAAAACAATAAAGTTATTGGTGAAAATGAAAAAATGTGTCTTTTATTTTACAGAAAAAACTAAACAGACTTTTGGCCAACCCAATATAAAGAGAGTTAAGGGTTATCAAAATAAACAACTCTACCTAAGAATTACTATCAGATTTAAAGAAAGAATATATTTATAACCCATTTAATTCCATCAAAATTGAAATTACAAGTAGCTGAAGTTGAAAAACCTTTGGTAAAAAGAATTCTTGATTTGTAGTTCTATAATTAAAAAAATGTAGCTCACCAATCCTACAGCTAAACTTTTTACATTGTTATGGATTTTATAATAAAAAGTTGCAATACTTTGACTTTTGACTTCTAAATTATTTTAAAATTATCTCTGAGTTTCAGTTTTTTTGCCTGTTAAATGAAGATAACCGAGCTACGGACATCTATCCGGGTAAACACGGAGACACTCACGAGTATGGGAACGTGGTGCTGAGCCAGCCCGATAGAGGCTGGAGATGCGGGGGTTGGGAGCCCAGCGCTTAATGTGCTTTTGAAGCCGGAGGCCTCTATGGGTGACGCTGAGTTTCAGACCTCACCCCCCTTTACTGCGACTTGACGTGCCCATGTCCGAAAACATTTACATATGCGACTCTAGCTAGAATTATGAGACCAGACTGGAAGTCTAAAAGAAAAAGTAAAAACAAATGACTATTTCCTTCCTAAAGGTCAAATTCACGCGTTTTAGAACCATATCTGTGGGCAGAATAGTCTACATACAGTCTGTTTTTTTCTTAGCAAACATAATAGGATCCAAAGCCTTGAAATTTTACCAACTATAAGAAAATGAATTTCTAAGTACTCCAAATTCCACACTTCTTTTCCTACGCGAAGATGGAATTGCCCAAGGACTATTGTTAAAAGCTGCACCTGAAAGTGGGCACCAGAATTTGGAAAGGGTGCAAAGAAGCCCGAAAGCTCTCTCAGCTGCGTAACTTGTTCTCGATCAGTTCCTAGCACAAGGGGCCACCCCAGGGGGACTTGGAGAGCCGGCTGGTTGTGCCCTCCGCGTGGGGTACCACCCCGGGAGCGCGCCGCTGCTGACTCGCGCCCTCCCGCCTGCGCGGGGCCCGGACTCCCGGCGGCCTCCGTCAGACTCAGGGGCCTGCGTGCGCCTGCGCAGCAGCACGCGCTTGCACTCGAAGTCGCGTCTTTGTGGTATCTTTCAACAAGTCGTGTCCCGTTCAGGCTGCTAGTTTATCTCTGTCAGACCAGAGGCCCCAGCGGCCTACGGGAGCTGTCAGGCACAGGTAGACCCACCTGCTTCGTGCTGAGGAGGTAATGCATCTTTCGGGCTTGGTAATCTCTTTTCTTCTCCTCCCTTTCCAGGTCGGCCTTCTTCTCCTCTCTTTCTTTGATCTCGGCAAACTCGTCCAGGGCCTCCCTGCACCAAAGCAGCCTGCGATTACTCGGGATGCTAACAACCTGCTTATGTTTTAATTCTTTCACTAGTGATAATCGAGTATGGTTTTGAGGGGCAACCAGCGTCCACATTCATCAAAATCGGCAGTGTGATCTATCTTAGCTGCACATTCTAGGGGGATCCTTGCAATCTTTAACAAGCCTTTAAAGTGATTTTTTTCTGTGGTTAAACTTTTTAAATCAAATATATCTTATAATTAATCCAATAATTGAGGAGCTATGTCAAATGCAAAGTAAGTGAATTACTATATTAACGTCTTTGGTTGGAGGTTAACTATTTTGAACATACTTCAATATCCTAAAAAAACATTTGATCTACTGATTTCCTGTAAATTTTGTTTTTCTATTTATAAATCTCTAATTACTTATTTTGCATATTAACCAATGCGCTAATTTTAAAAGTGTGATGGGCTTTTATACATATGCTTAATTCATTGTAAGTTTATTTCTGTTAACAGTTCAGATAATACCAACATGACTACAAATATTATCCTGCACTTGAAAGGTTGACATTTTGTCCAATTATAGAGATAATCAGAATAAAAGCTAAATTATGAATAAGTGAATAATTTCATGGCTTTCTAAGTATAATACATTCCATTAAAATAATGAAACTTTTTAATCATTTATGTTTTAATCATCTAGGAAATTAAAACAAAAAATAAGATTTTGAACTATACAATGTGAAAAATGCCGCTAAATAGAATATGTTATCAAATATGGAAAAATAAACAGCTTCTGTGAGTATCAGTTCCTTTATTTTAATAGAACAAATTTAACTACTCATATTAAGATAATGTTTGGTAATTGGACTTTATTCTTTTTTAAAAAAAGATATGTAATGTACTGCCTAGTTCTATAAGTAAAATATTAAGCAAATCATCTGAGTCTTTACCTGAAATATATCGTGGGAAAGTAGAGAGGAAAATGCCAAAAATTAAAAAAAAAAAAAAGATTTTCATTTCTACTTTGACATCTGGAACTATTTTTGTTTCAATTTTCTGTTAAAGGCTACTAATCCGATACTTCATCCAAGGTTACTTATGAAACATACTGACGGTTAAAAATCACCATGCTATGCTCCTGCAGCCGAGCAATTCTTTTCAACATAAGATTAAATTGCAAAATAAATGAATTACTTGGAGTGGCATGGCCCTCATTTTGCTACCCTTCTCTTGAAAATTGCTTATTAATATGAAAAAAGGAGTCCGAAAATAACCTGTTTTACTCGATGCATAGTATTTTGGGGGCTTCGGTGCCCACACAGCCAGACTGGCTGCTCACTTAGATTGTGTAGGCAGGCAGGTACCACGACCTGTCTGGCCTGCGTCGAGAGGCTATTATTAATCGCTAAGTAACCTGGTAAAGCCAAACAAATTTGTTTCCATTGAAAGGATCTCTATCTGTGTCTGGGAATTTGTTCTGTACCAAACAAACCTCATTAACTGTGTCCATTTTTGACAAAGAACCAGGACTTAGAGGGACTGCTGACCTTTCTTTGTCCTTACGGTACAAATTTCAAGGCAGTCCCTTATGAATAAATGAGAATTTTTACCAGGAAAAATAGCAATCATATGTTACATAAAAAATGGAACAGATTTTAAATTGTCATCTTTACTTTTTATATTATGGAAAAAATAAGTATTCCTTCTATATTTCCTCATATAAGTCTTTAAGGTAATTTAAAATAACCAATAAATTACCACAATAATTACTCAGACATGCAGCTATACAAATTATGTCCCTCCAAGGTAAGCATAGTGATTTTCTGAGCAATCAGAATTTTTTTTAAATGTGTCTACAAAGATGCTTGTGCTTTATGAACGATTTAATGAATATGAGATCTTTACCTAAGAAAGAAAAGAGGCCCGCTCTAATGAACACATACATGAACAAGTAAGATACAAAGAAGTACACAGGACTTGACACAAAATCAAAACTGTAAATTATTGGAAGGGGAAAAAACAGTCCATCTTCAGGGTATGGAAACGTAAAATACAAACAGTGTGTACTTGCAAGGGAAGCTAAAACCGGGAAAGATGTAAAAGACTGTCAGATTCTGGTACATAAAGAAAGCACACAGCAAACCCAGAAGGATTTCTTTAAAAATAAATTCAAGACATGTGACAATGCAGTAGAAAATCTAACTTGGGCAATTGCAAAACATAAAGTAATTAATTTAATAAATTCATACAATTCTTGAAAAGAATCGATCTTGCATTCCTAATCGATTTATCGCCAAACTTGAGAGTGTACAGATATACTGAGCACCACAGTTATGTCTCTGTCAAACAGTCTTTGTTCAATGACCCCAGTGGGAAGAGTGGAATAAATTATTCGTCCCTGATATACAGGTTTTTGTTACATCCACAGGGATGAAGATATGGCTCAGTGTAAAGGACGTAATAAAAAGTACGATCCCATTTAAGATTAAATGATGAAAACCATTCTAACTAGGAATTCCTACAAAATTATGAAAACTATCTATTTTCTTATGCAGGCAGTTTTAAATCCTTTTACTTTTAAAATACTTCAAATTTTTCCAAATTTCATATATTTTTTTTTCATTTCAGATGTATAGCCTTTTTTCTATTCTCAAAAAACTATCATGCGAAGTGTATGGGATAGGTGTTACTAATTACAATATTTTACAAATCTGGAAATACAGATTTGTAAAGTGATGAAATGGCCACTCAATAACAAATTAGTTAGTGGCAGAAAGGGAATTAGAATCCTTAGATTTGCAGATTCGCCAGCTCCACACCAAGCTGTCGTTTTCCTGATACAAGCAATACTATGCAGAAGATACTTCTATTGAATGAACCACTCACATTTTCTCTTATGATTCTACTTCCTACCATAGAGTTAGAGGCACTTGGGTTCCCAGGACTTCTTACCATACTTTATATAAAGCACTTTGCGACAGCACTTTATTTAAAAATGAAGGTAAAAATTACTAAAACTTTTGTAAAGCCTTACATATTTGAATATGTTTTGCTAATAATATCTATAATAAGATACTTACATATAGCAATAATGATAGAAATAATAAAATAATAGCCACTTGGAAGCAGTGTCATTGGACGGGTACAGCACAGACTCTGAAATGACACCTGGTTATAAAATCTCTGTTGTTGAGTCTGAGTCTTAATATCCTTACCTGTAGATGCAAATACCTTAGTACCAGTATCTTCCTCATCAAGCTATTATGAGAGTCAAGTAAATTAATCTATGTAAAGTATTCAGAGTAGGGTTGGCGCATTGGTAATAACATGTTAGCTATTTTTGAATGTTTATTCTATGCCAGGTACCAGGCTCTTTGCTTGATCTACTCAACTGGATTATGAATCTTTTACACTTTCTCAGATTCCCTCCATGATCTCCTCTTTCCTCTCTCCCGATCAGGGTGCATTTTGTGGGTGCAATTCCACAATGCAGAGCGTGGGCTCTGGCTTCCTAAGAGTCATGGGGCCCAGGGTGAACTTTGACCGGTGGAACACAGGAGATGGAAGAGAGCCGTGCAGATACATTCTCCTTTTTAGTTACTCCTGAAAATTTGTGTGCTGCAGTATAGATCAACTTCTCTTCAAAGTGTCTAAGCTATCTGAAGGGTAAGTATCATGAGGAAATTGATAGTTATTTATTGATCCAGTCAGATAGACACAAGTTATGTTTAAAATATTAAAAGAAATAAAGATGTGGAAAGTCCAGTCCCTGCCTTCACATACCTTGCAAATAAAATAGCTAATAACTAGACCACAGACAGAAAAAGTCTACGAAGAGAAGCACAGGCATGCCTAAGCTCAGAGAACTCGCTTCTGATGACAGGGACCGGAAGAGGCCTCAGGGATGTGGTGGCACTGGAGCTGGGGCTGAGCATGGAGCTGGGACGGAGTGCAAGGGAACGGGGCCCAAAGGGTCCCAGGCATCTCCCCGGTCTTTGGGAGGCAGGAGCCATCAACCGCAAAGTGGGGGAATGCACGAGAGTAGGAGAAAGGCTTCCGGAGAAGTGTGAATGGGCTCTCTCAGGGTAATGCTGGCAAGTCTGCCTCTATAGACTAGATATTTTGAGAAGGGAAAAAAGTAAAAAAGATGATAATGGTGGATGTTATAAAATTACAATACCATGACTCCACTCTGATCATAAAAAGGGATCGTCCAATTGCTCCATTATCTCATTTGCCTACTTTGCATGATTTTTAAAAAGCAATAAGACTCCATTCAAAGATCATTCATGAAAATCAATTTTTTTTCTTCTTCTGGCTCTTTTGAATAAACTTCCTTGAAAGGAAATCTTTTGTACAGTATTCTTTTTGAAAATATGCACATATTTCACTGTACAATTATTTTCTTTTTACTATTCTGGATAGTTTCTCCAAACGGAAGTAAAATTTTATATAATATATACGATGTCAAATAATTGAGAGCTGCGTTGAGCTAAGTACAGTAATAGGCATAATAACGACATGTATTTACATTGGACATTATTTTCAGGAGCTCCGCGGGCTTCACAGACATTAATTCATCCTCACCGCATCCCGCTGAGGTTGGGAAGGGGCAGGTATTACTAATGAGACTCCTGTTCTTCGTGAGATGAAGAGGCTTTACAGGTGGCCAGGGAGACAGAGCGGGCTTCCCCGCTGTCCTCCCAGCGCTTCAGCTGTGGAGGGGGAGCATCAAGCTACTGGAGTTCTGTTTGGGGTAGAGTTCAGAGTTGAGTAGCTCAAGTTCCCATTTCATAGGAAAAGAATCACAAAGTCTTATTTATTGTGTGTGTGCTCAACAATTGCACACTGTCTCTCATTTAAAATCTGTTAGCTTCATTTTAAAGCAAGAATAATTGCTGCTGCTTTTGCATGGAATCCACTCAACACAGACAAAGGGCTTCCCCAAACTAATCCTGATGCTGTCATACAGTGAAAATGCACCATAGGATGACACCGACATATTTTAAGGCAGTATACCACATGTAATTTCAAGAAAATTATCTAATGAGTTTTATAAAACTACTTATCAAACAGTTGTTTTATAATTGGTCCTAGAAGTCTATTCCATGTGAATGCCAAACAGAACCTCATCGTATTTATTGTCAGGCAGGGTGAGAAAAGATTACAAACATGTCATACAAAGAACAGAGAGAGAGAGAAACAAACTGGACTGGAGCGATTTTCTTCTCTGTTCTCTTCCATGTCGCTCCTGAGAGAGGAAATAGAGAGACGAGAAAGAAAATGAGGGAGAAAAAGCTGAAAAGCATTACAAAGTGGCAATAAAAAGTATTTTTAAGTAAGTAATGTTTTAGTAATTCACTGCTTTTGTAGTTTGATACCACTACATACATTTCCTCTTTATCACATCATTTCTGTTTTTTTAGGTTTATGTAAACACTAGAAATTCTCATTCTGCAATAGCATTTTGATGAAGATACATGTTAACATTTTTTCCTCAAGAGCCATGTTTTTACATATTATGACTACTTAAATACTATTAAAGCATTATGACTATTAATACTTGCAAAAATACCTGAATCAGATTTCCGCTATATAAATTTAGCTAAATACTTGCAAAAAATAATGCAAGTATTTATTTTGAGTTTGCTTAATTCTTATGTTAAGGAGATACTCTAAAATCCAGTCCCAGTATTTATATTAGCCATGTTTCTAAGACCTCTAAGTCATCTTTTACTACGGAACCCTTAAAAGGAAGGAAGTATAACAAATTACATTGATCAGGTTTGTATTTTAGAAGAATCTTTCAGGCATCAGTAGGGAGAATAGATAGAGGAAGAAAGAGAACTAGGAAAAGAAACACTAGGTTTGGGAGAATGATTATTTTATATGCAAACATATAAAGGTGTAAGACACCTTAGCTTGAGGTATCTGTGGATGTCCAAGGGGCCACGTTAGCAGGCCTAGGAACGGATGGTTAGAATAATCAGAAGAAAATTCCGGGCTGGAGAATATCCAGATTCATGAATCACCAGCATGCAAGTGGCAGCAGAAGTCACCGGAGCGTCTGAGACTGTCCAGGGCATACAGGGTGACAATGGAAGTGTGTCACAGAGGGAACCCTGGTATTTTGATCCGGTGAATAAAGATGAGCCCACAAAGGCCATGGAGAAGAAACTTTAAAAAGGAAACCAGAGAGAACGGTGTCAAATAATTCAGGTTACAAGAGAGCTTGGAATAGAAAAGTGATCAACAGCACTATATGCTTCAAAGAGGCCAGAGAAGATGAAGGCCAAATAGCCTACTGGATAGTATCATAAATGACTTTTTAGCAATAGTTACATTTTCTCAATACACTTTCACAATAATGTAAACATGTCTTTGAGTATGACTGAAAAGTTTGTATAATATTAATCTATCAAGTACCTGAATCAGATTTCCGCTATATAAATTTACTCTCAATCAGCAATATCAAAAATAGCATTACCAGTCCTTATCACAGAATTAGAAAGGAAAACAAATAAGGAACTCTCTTCCATCCACTCCTGTCAAAAGATCAGCTACACTAAATGAGAGATACAGACTTTCCATCCATCCATTCCACCAAACTGGACAACCACAAGGCTAAATCCATCAACCAACATATCTTAGTCCCTTCCTTTCAAATGAGCAACAATTTAATGTGATACTCTGCCCCCCGCACCCGCCACCCCAAACATCTCCACAAAAAGAAAAAAAAGAAAGATACACAATTCAGATGGTCTTTTTGCTGTTTAAAAAAAAGTTACAGAAGTCACTGCTCATTACATTACTCAGTGTCTCCTAGTAAAGGTTCACAGGTAGTGCTAGAAAAAGCTGTTTCTTGGCATATGCAGTTACGGCCTCTCCATTTTCACAATGGGATGTATTTAACTAATTACATTTCATTCACACCATTAGAGCCATCAGTCTGCATTTTCCTACTTGAAATTCACTGTGTCAAGAGTTAAACTTGAAAGTAATTAATACACATGTAAAGAAATTATACCCAGTATAATACAGCTTTTTCCTTTTGTTAATTCTATCTTGGGAATGAAACTCTTTTTCCTTTTTATATGTTTTGCTTTACATTTTGTTGAAAATAGCAAATTATTAAAAGGTAGTGGGTTCTTGTTAAAAATAGAGTATATGAAATTGAAAAGGCTTTGATCACATGGTTCATATCATTCCATCTGTTAAAGTGAATATATGGGTTATATCATTAATTACTAATTATGGATAAGTTACAGACTGTTTTCAAAGCAAAGAACATATGCTGTATTTTAAGTTAGACACTCTGCTATGTTACCCAAATACTATCAAGGTCATTGCCGTAATTGTTGCTTCTTCACATATAAAATGATGCCACAGGAAAAAGTTCACATGTGTACTTAACATCACAGACTGATTCGGCTCTGGGAGGGTAAAGTGTTCTCTCCTTCACATCACAAGGAGCCCTAAGCAGAAGAGCCCATCATCTGGGTGCAATTAGAGAAAGCCAGCTGCTGTCATCTCGTTGGCGGAGATCAGAATATTCTATTTTTTAAATGCAGTTTATGAAATGTTATCTTTAGGTAATCATATTTATTGTCCCTGTTTACACAGTATCTATGGTGCTCCACTTATGTCCTTGAAATAGGGAACAGGGACAGCGGAGTATGAAAAAGTGGCCTCGCTGCTGGAGTTCATAAATTTTGTTCAGCTTTGGATGAGTTCAAAGAATTGCCATGTTAAGAAAAGCCTTACAGAAGGAATTTATCTGATTATGGCGGTAATAATTACCCAGCTGTTTATTGCAGATAGAGAAATAATTCATGCAGGCAATAGGCCGTGGTGGCAATGACACTTTGCATTTAGTAAATATGCAAACTGTTCACTTCTAATTAACCAAGCTCGAGGATGCCCTTATTAAATGTATAAACTAAAAGTGCCTTCCTGACAAGTGATGAATTGTTACATTGCACAAACTCTTGCCACAGAATTATTGCAGTGAACTTGGGGCTTAACTTCATTAAGAGATCTTGTGGGACAGTTAAATGAGGATGGACAGCATAGCAAGGCCGACCTGACAGCCGCTGATGCGGCGGCGCTTCCTGGGGCTGTGCCTTGTCCGCGGTCCTGCCGCTCCGCGCAGATTCGCCACGGATACACCGGGAAGTGAATTCGTGTTCAAATAATAAAAATGAATGGAATGACACAGCAGCGCACCGGTGGAGGCTACCTGACACTTCACCTGCCAAATGAATCTACTAAACGGCCACTTGTTTGGGATTCGGATATTCTTCATGTATCAAAACGGAAAATCTACCGTTGAGTAACAATAAATGGTCTTACTGAGTAGCATTATAACATCTTTCAAAAGTAATTAAATGGGTTTTATTAAAGAAAATTAATACAATACAGAAATTACTCTTAATATTGACTCTGAATGAGTTTCACTTAATTTGACCAAATAATTAATTAGTAATAGTTCATTGTCTATATTCTATGCTTAGCCTTACTTGAAGATAACTCTTCATTCTTTATCAAATATCTACACAAGTATTTCTAGCTCAATTAAGGACCTAATGGAAATTACTACTTAGAGGGAAGTGTTAAACATAATAAAACAAAACTAAATTTTTTCCATTTGAATTGTAGAGTATGTAGTAATACCTGCTGTGCAGGTTGTGAAAATGTTCAAGGTGACATTGAGGATAAAGGGCAGCACAATGTGTTGTATCCTGTAAGTGCTCACTGTGCACTGGCAGTTTATAATGCGCTTCTGTACGAGTTTGGGGGAATAAACACTGGCAGTCAAGCAGTCTGTTGTATTATGTTCCATGATATTTTATTTTCTTCTTTGAGATGCAAGTTCTTGCTATTCAACATGTTTCTCAAAATACATCTGAGTCTTCTACTTAAGGCTTCATATCTAATAGAATCATTTTCTAGATAAATTCATTTTAAAAGAAATGATTTTACTGTAACTAAACTATTTTTCATAGAACCAGGGCATAATATAATCTAATTTATAATAAAGAGTGCAAGAAATTTAAATATAGAACAATAAATTTTAAGTTAAATAGAATCATATCTCTACCTTATCAATAAATTGCTGTTTAAAATATCACTGAGTTTGAGAAACTATTTCTCATTATGGTAATGACCAACATCTCCTGAGGCAGTTTTCTAGAATTTTCACTGGCAGACTAGTGATTGCGCTACTCACCTAACTGCGTCATTGGTCTCTTCCACGGCTTTCAGATATGCCTTCAAGTAAAAATAGTTAAAGCAGACTTTTCGAATCCTATAGCCTCGCCACTGCCTCTGAATCTATTGAAGTAAATAAAAAGATAAAATACGTCAGTGAGTATTTTTAGTGAAAGCATTAATAGTTCTTCAAAATAAAATAGCGATGGATGATAACTCATTAAATTGAAGGCTTTTCTACTAATATAACTACATATAGTTTCAAATGCAGGTTGTAATCGCAGGTTTATATAAAATGTATAATGACAAAACATACTTCGGAAATATGTTTTAAAACATTTATAATTGTTTCACAAACACTAAATATAAAATTAACTACTGAAAGATTAAAAATTCACCAGAACAGGTTTTTGATTTTACATATCCAACTGACTTGAAGATTGTATTTGGTCTCATTGAAGTCAGTTTTTAAAAAGGGCTTTTTAAATTTAGTGCTATCAATTTTTAAACAAAATGTCTTGTATTTTCATCATGCTATTTTAATACTTCTTTAACAGTAGCAGTAGCTAACATTTGTTGAATTCTTATTAGGTGAGAGGCACTATTCTGAAGTTTTGCTTGTATTTACGCATTTAATCTTTAGAAGGTTCCTATAAGATAAATATTCTTATCATTTTATTTATAGATGAGAAAACTGTTAGGAATAAACAAGAAAAATGTTTTACTTAAATTCTGGTTTATATTTTTGTTTTAAAATTGGCCATTTAAAAGGCATTTTACAATCTGAGATATTAAATGGGAAGATTGTAAAGGAATGTTTTAATATGATGAAAAATAATTGAAGATATGCAAACAGCTTCTAAGAACAATTAAATCAGAGGCAATTCTAGAAAGTAAAATTTATGTAGAAGAGCAAGTTAATGTAACAATGTTGTAGATGTCTTTACAAATGTCTTTCAACCTTATTTTATAAATTAATTCTTTAAATAAAGAAAAATTAATTTTTAAATTATATACTCAATTTAGAAACAATATCCTTCCAATTTAACCAGAACCGTATTACTACTAACAAAATAACAAAGAAAGGGAGGAATTAATACAAACCACTTTCCTAATGAAAAATTAATAACCATTTGGAATATGCATACATATATAAATCATAAATGCAAATAAGTGAATATTTTCCCCGATTTACCTAATTTAATCATTATAGTATCATTCTGAGGTAGAGATTATCAGCCTCATTTAATAGAAGAGGAAATTGATACTCAGGTTAAATAGTTGTCTAGGGTTATACAGCTGGTTGGACATCTTCAAATGTTTGGTGTACTTTTATTGCACGCACAGCATCAACTGTATTAAAGGAGAGAATACTTGTAAACAAACACTGACAGGAAAGCCACCATCAGATAGAGCAGTAACTCAGGACACACGGGAAAATTTTAGGATCTCAAATAGCGCCAAGGGAGGGGCTGATTATCGCTCGAAAACAGCACTGCGTTCTGAGTGAGACCGAGCAGCAGAAAACACAGAAGATGCATGCTGGAGCGCTGAGAAGGGAAGAAGTGCCGTGGTGATCTGTGGTTAGATTGGACCGCAGTAGGGAAGAGAAAACTGGAAGGGCAACAACTAAAATTGGCGGAAAAATCTGCACCAGTAGGAAGGGTGCTGACGGAAGCCAGTGGAAGGGGCTCCTTCCCACGCCCGGAAAGCCTGCAATGGGGGTGTCCTCAGCCAGCCTCTTATACCCTCACTGCGTAGGTATCCCTGCTCCCCGCCCAAGGCAGGATGAAACTCCTTTCCAAGATAAACCCTTTTATTCACAATTGGCTATTAAAGCGAATAATAAGTAAGTGATGGTTAAAAAATTAAACTTATCCACATGAAAGTATAACCAATCAATCTTTAAGTGGCTTTGTCAGAAGTGTGAAAAGAGAACTGGAAAAAACTGAGCATTCGAGCAGGTGAAGGCTCTGTCGTCCAGGGAAGAGAACTGACTGAACTCCTGGAATGTGCCAGGTGTTCTGCTCACTGCTTCACAGGTTTTCCCACGACAGCCTTGTGAACAGGGCATGAGATCCATGTAAGATAAGAAGAAACTGAGGTTCAGCAACTTGCTCAAGATCACATCACCAGGAAAAAGTAAAGGCAAAATCTGGATACAAACCCAGCCTCTATTACTGTGAAGCCCAGACAGCTTGAATTTTGCCTAAATTTCCAGTTGATATCCCAGTATAATGAATAAACTTTTTAATTTTTAATAAAAGTACTTTTAAGAGGCAAGATGACTTTTGATAATGTGTTTTTGTAATTTTAAGGTGAATAGGTGGCAACTTCCAAAAAAAAAAAAAAAAGCTAGTGTTCATGTCCTTCAAAGTAATTAGCAACTTTCTGAAGTGATTGGTATAAAACAATTATTGTCATTGATCAGCTCTGAATAGATAATTTTAAACAAAGTCATTGTGTGCTCAGCAGGTTACAGCTTGTTAACAGGCAACTTCCAAACGACCTCTTCAGCTAGTCAAATCAATGATGCATATTCCCCATTAAGTCACATCAAAATGTAAGTGGTCTTATAAATAATGTTTATTTTAAGCACTAAAACAAATGGCAAAATGTTGAGTTATCAAAAGTTATCTGCTCATGGAAAAAGATCTTCCCTCCATTGGGTTTACTTTTATTCCTCAAAATTAATAGTAACCTTAATGTTATTAGAAGAGAGAAAAATAATGCCTTCTCACCTAAAATTAAAATGAAGACATGGACAAGAAATTCACTAATAACCTACCCAGTGATGCTCTAAATGTATATGAGAGCATACAAATAGAACCCTTATTCATAATTACACTTTTTAAAAATTAGAATACACAACACCTAAAGACTATACAGTGAACACAGGAAGAGTGGGTTTCCTAAATTTTCAAAGATAAAATGGTTAAAAAAATTGTAATATCCAAGTTTTCATCCTAGGTGTCACTGCATTAGCGTGTCAAATATATATACTACACACTAGATATTTTTGGCTGGTTGAAGATATTCTGGATAATTATACTCTCTGCAGTTTCTTCTCTTTAATAGCCTGTTTCTTCACTCTACCTGACTCCCAACTTTTTCTACAAACCTACCCAACCATTTCACAATGGTTTGGTATTAGAAGGAGTAGGAGGGAAAAAGAAATATTATTTTGCATGATGACAGGACATTTAAATACCTGACCATCACCAGGCAAAAGCTCATGGCTGTCTAGATGGTCCCTTCCCCTCTATTCCTTAGGCTAATACTTTGGCACACCTTTTTTGTGTGAATGAGACTGTGTCTTACTCATTTTGTATTCCTTTAACCCAACATATTGCTTAGTATATAAGGGACTGACAATATTTTTTCATGAATTATTTTACCTATTTATATTTATCTAATCTTGGAGTTATTATTGTAAACATAAATCCTTCATAGCATTATACATATAAAAATAGGATTATAAATAACTTAGGAGACTGAGATGGAGCCTTATATATCTGAAGGATTTAGCAGTTTTAATTAAAGCCACCATGTAATCTTTTCTCATATTTTTTTAGTATTTTAGACACAAGGGGGAAATAAAAGAAAATGGGTACTTGATGTTAAAAGTTGGATTAGTTTTTATCAAAGCATCATTTTTTCCCCACAGATCCAGAGCTCTAAGAAGAAAAAGCCAATATTTATTAATTTATTTGGGGATATCTACTTAACCAGCTACTATAAGTGAAGAAATGTAGATACAAAGACTAGGAAGATAGGACCCAGGCCCCAAGAGACTTACAGTGTGTGGGGGGTGGATACAGGCACGTAAATTAGTAAGGATAATAAAATGTTACAAGTTCTATAACAGAAGTATGTCAATGGTAAAATAGGGACATAAAAAGAGAGAGCAATCAATTCCACATGGGTAGGGGGATCATAAAGTCTTTAGAGAAAAGGTGACCTTTTAAAAACTAAATGCAGCAAATCAGAATATGAATCTCTATTACAACATAAAAAAATCACAACCTATAATTTATTCATTATAAAAATGACATCTATTTAGAGATGGATAGCCTAAAATTAAACTTTTAAAATTTGTCTCTTTTTGGAAATGTTCCACTAGCCTTCTTAAAAATTGAATATGATTTATTTGTCAGGCTAGGAATCAACAGTCAATATATAATTTGCCATTGGCTCAGTATATGAAGCAAATTAAAACAGAAGCTTTTTTTCTTTTCTATTGCACGTGAAGATCCTACCTATGATCTGGGTTCATACGTATCTGTCTGAACATTACTTACTATATAGATTTCTTCTGTTACTCTTAGAAATTCTTCCTCTTGGACACTAACAACCACTCATATTTAAATCAGTTAAAGGATAGTTATTTTGACCAAAGTTGCTTGGAAGCTTATGAACTGAAAAGGCAAAACTGTAGATATGAGAAATAAAATTTCAGCTGCTGGTGTCCAATTGTGGTTGTAATCTTCAAATGTTCACAACATGAAGGTGTGTGGACTACACATTGGTCTCTTCAGAGAGCAAAACTTTCAGAACGCCATCTTGTAAAAACTCACTTACAGAGAAATCTATCCAAGTCCACTTACAAATGGATTCAGTTCTGGTCCCTAGGACCAACCAATGCTGAGTGTGAGTCATTGTCGGTCAACCACTTTGGCCTCCAAGCATGTGAGCCTCACTCCTGATCTCTCACCCTGGGGACATAAAGCGTATGACCAAGCTAATTCATTCAAGCCTCAGAAGGAAGTCTATAAACATCTCCCCTAGAGAAGTGTTTCTGTTATAAATTTCCCAGAGTGGTATTTACATATTCCAGCAGCCCCATGAAAATTCCTGAATGCCTTCGGGGGATCGTTCCAACCTCTATTCTGCTCTCTTGGAACGTGCCAGGTAAGTGAGCAGTCCAGCCAGAGCAAGGAGAGGCTTTGTTTGGAAGAAGTACTGCAAGGGGCAAGGGCTGAGTGGCTGCAGCTGTAGGCAGCAGAGAGGATGCTGTGACCACAGCATCTGCTAGCCTGTCGACGGTTACAAGAATTAGACTTTTTCTTTTCCAGGAAGGACCAAACAAAGGTTAGAAAGAACCTGTGTGGGGACGTGCAATAAAAGGGCAGCATGTCAGATAGTAAGAGCACAGGTTTGACTCGGAAGCCAGCCCCGTCTCAGGAGGAGGGACTCAGGAAATGCTCCCTGCCGGCTGAACTGCGGGGCCCTGGGAGGCAGAGAGGAGCTTAACCAGAGCTCGATCAACAAACATCTTTTTCCAGTTGATCGAAGGGGACAGGCAGTTCAGTGAATCGTGTACGAGGTAAAGAATGGAAATCAGGTTGGGGCTGTGTCTGGCCCTGCCAAAGGTAAAAGGGATGCGGGGGTGGGGAGTCTGCGCTTCTTACCTACGGTAAGTGGGGAAAGAGCTTTTTTCACTCTGGACTGTAAAGCTCTTTTTAAATTATAGTTGACATACAATATTATATTAGTTTGAGGTGTGTGACACAGTGATGACATTTATACACCTTACAACATAATCACCACAAAATGTCACGTATCCACGCATTGCGGTACAAAGTCACGGTGGTGCTATTGGCTATATTCCCTCCACTGTACTTGACACGCCCATAACGTATGCTACAACTCGAAGTTTGTATCTCTTTCTCCCTTCACCTTCTTGCCCATCTCTCCAGCCTTCTGGCAACTCAGTTTTTCTGTAGCTACGAGTCTGTTTATTTTGTTTGTTCATTTGTTTAGTTTTTTAGATTCCACATATAAATGAAATGATACAGTATTTGTGTTTCCCTGACTGACTCTGTTTAGCATGATACCCTCTAGGTCTGCATGTGTTGTCTCAAATGACAAGACCTCATTCCTCTTCAGGGCTGGGTGGTATGCCAGTGTGTGTGTGTGGGGTGTGTGTGTGTGTGTGTGTCCTGGTGTGAGTCTCTTTGGGATCATCTTGTTTGGGGCTCTGTGTGCCCTGGACTTGCAGGTCTGTTTCCTTTGCCAGGTTAGGGGAGCTTTCAGCTATCATTTCTTCAAATAGGTTTTCCCTCCTTTTCTCTCTCTCTGCTTCTTCTGGGTCCCCAATGATGCGAATGTTAGTACACTTGATGTTATTTTTCTTTTTTTCTTTTTGCATTAAGTTGTTTCTGGAACACAAAAGGGTCGGGGGATCTTTTAAAGTGTGCCATTGTCTAGGGTCATAGGTGTCAGGTTAAGTTCAATTTGGGCCTTGACATTAATCAAAGATAAATTGACCTGGGACAATACTGTTAGAAAACATAGCTTCAGTATGATATGGGAATAAGTCATATGTTCTGCCTTCCAAGTGGCTTGCATTGATAGAGATTTCCTAGAGTTTCTTGGTCTAAGTTAAAGGAACCTTAACGATGGAAGTAGATCGGAATTCAAATGAAGATTTGGGGCTAAAAAATAAACTAGGGAATGCATTTCTCTGACCTTGCTGTCTGTGCCTGTACCTCCTCTGGTGACTTACGAAGACACCTAAGTCCTTGCTCATCAGCTGCTTCAGGGGCTCAGTTATGTGTTGCTTTTTACTTTGCAGACACATCTGACAGGAGGTAAGGAGGATGAAAGAATCCAACAGTCTTTTAGGTTCAGAGGTTAAGTCTTTTGCAGAGAATCAAAATCTCCTAAATTCCCATACTGCAGCAATCTGGACATGAAAGAGGAAAACCAAATTGTTTTCCTGTGTTGCCATATCACTAAGAAAGGCCAAGAGCCCGCTGCGGCTGGAGTATCTGCCTGGGGCTCAGGAAAAGAAGCAGGAAGATCTACTTCCTCTGGATTCTTTTTCCTTTCAACCACAGAGTGTGAAGGTGGACAGAGAGACACCGGGGGCTGTCCCCAAGCCAGGGCCCCAGCGCACTCAGGCCTGTAGAGAAGGGCACCCTCCCCGAAGCAGTGTAAACAACCAAAACAAGGTCAGTTCACCTGCCATAGTGTGACGCAGGACCTTCAGAAGGTTTTTTCACCCCAAGTAAAATCCATGATTAGAAGAACTAATTGATTGATGAAAGAAAATATAAGGAAACGTAGGTTTTAAGGACGTTAATGGAATTTGCTTAAGTACCTTCTGCATTTATAATAGTTTCACAATTAAACTATTACCATATTTTCTGAAACAAAAGAAGTATTTTTGCCATGCGTGCCCATTCCCAAAATCTATACAAAAACAAGCCAGCCCCATAATCACAAAGTTCAGCTTTCCATTAGGAAAATAACACATAAAAATGAACATAGAAATGATAGAAATAAAACTTCTAAGCTGGAAACTGACTTGATTACTGTTCAATCATGTGAATGATTTCTAATTGATTTGTATTGGGCTGGAATCTTATATTCCAGAACCATGTTCATCTATTTATCACAATATTCTCTATGACATGGAAACTAATACATTACTTCATTAATATTTACGGTCTTTCCCCAGTCATGGCTGAGAGATATTTAACATTCTAAAACATAAGCATTGATAATTACATGTTTTACATTTTACTCTAATTTTTAATATTGCCAAGATTATTTGGTATAGCTAACTTTTTAACTATGTTCTCTTTTCTCTCTTTACTATTAGCATATCAATCAAATTTGCATTATTCTGGTTTGCTCATTTTATTAAAAGCGAATTCAAGGCACAATTGACTTTTCATTTGTTTAACAAGTGAAGAAATATTTACCCTGACAGCCATTGCATTGTAGATATTCATCTTCATAGTATAATATGCTAACTGTGAATCAAGAAAAAAAAAGATGGCATATATTTCAGTTACACAAAGACAGTGCAGCCTATTTTTACATATAAAAGATAAGAATCTTTATACATAATACATAATAAGAGCTCTAGGCTTAGAAAAATGAAATCAAACTTTGTGTTGAAGAGATAGGCTTCCTAATACATAATGCAGGCTTAACCAGAAAAATCTATGGTAGTCAAACTAGGAGCTAATGGAGATATATGATCATAAAATGCTCTCCGCTGAGTTTGATAATCAATGGTGCTCTACTGAGAATAGAATAACAAAGCAGAAATATTCACAAGTGCTGGTGACATGCAGTATTGTATGATTTATTCACTGGGGTTCTTTTAGCCAAAACTCACAGAAACATAAAAGGAATTCATATTTCAAGACGTCTGGTTTAATGAAAAATTCAAAGAAATGCTGTCTTCAGTCGAAATCGTTCAAGGATATGTATGCAGTGATGGAGCAAAATTGTGCCTTCCAACCATCTGTACAAAATGTTACATACTTAGCAGCCTCCTGAGTAATCCTTGGGAATTTTGTTTCATTTAACTTTCATTTTAATGCCATAAAATCATAAATACAATGACATCATGTTACAGCAAATCCCCTGATATAGTGAAGACTTCCTGAAGTCTTGTTTTCTTTCTAGTAGAGACACATTTGTCTATTAATACACACAGCTCTCTTATAGCAAATCATCATTTGGGAACATAAGTTATTTCAATGAAATATTGTTTTAAGCGAAGCTTTTATATCTGTCCCACCTTTTAATTAAAAATGTAAAATTAACAGAATTCATGACAGGACAATAAACAGTAAAGGAAGGATATACATATGTTTTTCAACCCAAAATACAAATTTATCCCTTTTTACTCAATCAAAACTCATTCGACTATTGTAACTTTAGCCCAGGTAATAGGTATTATGTTTCAGGCAAAATCAGAGAGGAGGACCTTAACCTCTTATATAGCAGTTTTCTTCCCTACAACAAACAGGAATTTATATGAAAGAAATTCACTGTAATTAGTATTGTTTGTATTGCCTGGTCTGATCCAAAGCAAATTGTCTGTGCAGAGCAGCAGGGCTGGATTATTTATCAACAGTCTGAGCAATTAAGAAACAGTTGGCTGCAATATGTTATTTACAAATGAACACAATGATGTTACTTCATTTTAAATTCTCTTTCTTTGTTATAACAATCAAGGCATAATTCTTGGTGTTTGAGGTGAATTCAAAATATTTACTTTAAAATCATATTTCTTCAAGTCATATCAAGGCAGGGATACACATTAAATATTTTTATACAAAAGAAGCATATTGGAAATTACATACTTGAAAAAATTTGCGTTCAGAAAAAGATTATTTTTATCACATTGCTGTTCAGTCAGCACCAGTGAATATGTGAGCATTCAAGCCACAGACCTGGGTTCAATTCCTGGCGCTGCTTTTAGCAGCTGCGCGGCTTTGAACAAGTTCCTTAAGGTCTCCCAGCCTTTATTTCCATCCTTACTCAGTGGGTCATCACATACTTCCTAGAGTGGTTGTGAAGATTAAAATGATAAAGGGGCTTGGGACATAGTGATGCCATTACAAGAGGGCTTATCCCTAGTGTTGTTAGAAGTAAGAATTTAACTCTAAATAAAATGCAAAATGTTTGAGGGGTTCAATTTTATTCTGAATGAAGAGGAAAAAGAGATACAGTTGTAAGCCTCAAGATTCTGAATGTTTTAGTTGATGGGTGGGAGAGCGCTTTGATTCCAATGTTGCAGTCTCATGTAAACCAGTAATTGATGTTACATCTTTCTCAATTCTCTAGCCCAGCTGCTTTTGAAAGTGCCAAACAAACAAACAAGCAAACAAAAAAAGAACCTAAACCCGTGTGTGAGGCCTGTTTAAGTAATTTGTCTATATAACCTTGACCAAATTAACTGGCCTTGTTTGCTACATCGGGTGATGCAGAAGACATATCTTTATTAAGGTGATGACAATGGAAACTTCGGAAGCCCTGCACTGTGGATCGCAGGCCTGTGAACCCGAGCCTCTGTCACCTCCCTATCAGTGTCGTCCTCATTTCATAAGCTTGAGTACAATTGTTAAAACGATCCATTATCAAATAATCATGAGTATTTTGTGCATATGCTTGGCCTTGTTTGCTGGAAGCCGATAACAATCTGGTCATTATCATCAGCTGATTTTTAACATAACCTTTATTTTCCCACAAAAAATTAAAAGCCACGTATATTATTTCTCACAGTTACTATTAATATAATCTTTAAAAGCAAGTGATTAATATAATCATTTCATAATTATAATGAAAATATGTTGATAAAGTTGTAAATTAATATTAGTAAGTTAGAGTTTTAAGTTATTCAAAAAGTTTGGTGTTTATTTAAAAGGAAGACCCCAAAGAAAAAAATATATTATGTTTCAGTTTTAGGCTCTGACACTAAAGGGTGACAAATGTTACCTTATTTACCTATAAATGATTTGGAAGTCCTATAAAGAAATTTATAAAAGGAGTTGGGCATTTTCTCACCTATGAAAAAAACATTTATTAATCTAATAAAGGGAGATAAAAAATGTCTGTCGACACAGTCATGTCAATCTCATCAGTTTTAAAAACAGTGACCAAAATTTATTTACTTTTACAAACCATAGTAAAAACCCTGATGGTATTTATCATGGCGACGTGCAATAGCATTTGATAGTGGATGGCACCCGTTGTCCCATTTAAAGTTAATAAAAGCCCTTTCCATCATCCCTCTTTCAAACGCTAATCAAATAAAAACCTTTGTAAGCAGCAGTAAAATGCTAGGCAGAGTATAAATGTTGTGAGCCTTGATTTTTAACAATAAAGTGAATTACTTTTGTAATTTAAAAAACTAATCTTTTTAAATAACAATTCTTTATAAATTGAATGGTTCTACTATAAGGCTGTTAATGCACCTAAAAGTTTTAAAATTAAATTCTATCAATGGGGTTGTCATATGTATGTTACACACTGACCTCAATTTAAAAACACAACAGTGAGCAGTTTTGGACTATGGTTCGATATATTTACTTCATGATGAGGCACCTAGAACTAATCATGTACATTAGGGTACTGTTTATACTTAGCTGCTCTCAGGAGTGTGGTGATTAAAGAACACAGTGTATTTGATATTAAACATAATGTAAACAATATATATATACAATGTTATATAATGTAAACAAAATATATAACAATAAAGTATAAAAAAGAGAAGGAAAAATAAAGAGAGACTATAACCGCCCTGCGCAGGTTATGCTGGTTAATCCCCCCAGGGAACGCGCTCGAGTACCAGTGCTCCCAGAAAGGAGGGGAAGGAGTATTTCACCTGTCTCTGGTGTGCGGCCACCTGCTGGCTCGAGTACCAGTGCTCCCAGAAAGGAGGGGAAGGAGTATTTCACCTGTCTCTGGTGTGCGGCCACCTGCTGGCTCGAGTACCAGTGCTCCCAGAAAGGAGGGGAAGGAGTATTTCACCTGTCTCTGGTGTGCGGCCACCTGCTGGCTCGAGTACCAATGCTCCCAGAAAGGAGGGGAAGGAGTATTTCACCTGTCTCTGGTGTGCGGTCACCTGCTGGCACGGCTGTTTTCACGTCGTCGTTCATGAAGTAAAGCCGGGGGTGGAAGCGACACACCGCCCAGAACAGCACGCAAGTGAGAACAAGGGTCCCGAAACGGCGGGACCGCGGCGGTGTCCAAGGGGCAGGGCAGGAGGCGGCCAAATGACAGTCGGCGTTCACAGGCGGGATGTGCCGGTGCGTGAGCACACGCGCCAGGCGGCCACTCGCTCTTTGTTCATAAAAGAGAAGGAGCAGAGCACGCCCTCCCCGAGAGGAGACGATTTGCAAGGCTGTGACTCGATGCACGCGTCCGGGCCACGCTCCCGCGCAGAGCCGCGTGGACGGCCGCAGGAAGGCCCGAGACGGAGGGCCCGCAGGCCTGCGGGCCCGGAGGCCGAAGAGCAGCCGTGCAGGGAGCAAGAACGAGGCACGTCCGGAGAGACGGGAGCAGGGCATGTCAACAGGGGCACCGTCCTGGGGACCGTGAGCCACGTCGAGGCTGGCTAAGCGAGTTCCTGTCGCCGTGAGAGTTATGGAAGGCTGGACAGACACCCGTGGCTGCAGTGGAGTTTAAAGGGAGCCTGCCTAAAAATACAGAACCCACCTAGGGGGACCCGGGACTTCCGTCTCCTCACTGCGCACTCGCCGTTGATCTTTGCCGCAGGGCAGGCTGTCCACAACTCCTCCTTCGAAGGCTCGTCTCCTCTGCTCCCTGCGCTGCTGCTGCTGCTGCGTCTCTGCCTGTCTAGCATCGCCTCCCTGCAGTTCCCTCTCTTCGGCCCAAGTCGGACCGCACGCATTCCACGAGCCTCAGTTCTGGGCCCTCCGCCCCCTGCTCAGGAAAGAGCGGGAGAAAACCCTGTCCTCCCGCAATGACGGCTCCGAGGGCCCCGCCAGCGAGGGCTCCTGGTCTGAGCTCCCTTTCAGGAGCTCACTCCCATCAGCAGCTGCTGCCAGCTCGCCCACCCTGCTCCAGGCACTCTGCAGAGCTGGCCACATCTGCTTCCAAGACGCCGCCGCCACCACCGACTCCGAGCGCACAGCTCCGTGTGAGCTTCACTGAGTGCACCTTCCGGAAGGTCTCTTACCCACACGCACGACTTTGTGGTCATTGTAACCACTAATCAGCTTTGCTCAGATAAAAGGGCAGCTACTGCAGTAGCTTATAAAACAGAAAGTTGATGTCTCCCTGACATTGCTGTGGGCTAAGGTCCCCTGTCCCGAGGCTCCACGGGTCTCTTCATCTTCACCCAGGAAAGAGAGAAAAAGTCACTTCAAGCCTCCCCTAGGCGGTAACACCTGTCCCTTCCGTCCACAATATATGGCCAAGCCCCAAGTCGATGGGTTGGGGATGAATCATTTATGTTTTATGAGGAAGAGGAAGTGAATACTTTTAACACATGTTGCTACTAATCATCCGCCACGATGACCATAACAAAAGTCTTCCCACTTGTATCCCTGTGAACCATTCACTGGTCCAGTTAACAAACGCTGCTGCAGGCTGCCCGTGTGACGTTTACTGTGGAGCGTCTGGGACGGACTGAAGCGGACAGTTGCTGCCATTCGGATGAGGGGTCTAACTAAACAAAGGGACTGCGCTGACGGCTGGCGCAGGAGCAGAGCGTTCCTAAGACACGCCTCCCATCGTACTCAGCTTTAGATCAGGGAAGGCTCGTGGTGAAGGAGAGTCTTCAATGATAGGCAGGGATTCAGACCAACGGGCCGCAAGTTGGAGGGAAGAAGGGCATTCCAGGCAGAGTTAACAGTATCTGCAGAAATCCTGCAGGACGCTGTGTGTGGTGACAACGGCAAATGGCTTAACGCATCCAAAGTGCATTTATACAGGTGTGGCAAGAAGAGAGGTCAGGTGACAACCAACAGGACATGTCGTGCTGAAGTGTGAACTTGATGCTGTAGGCTAATGGCGAGGTCGGCAGCAGGCATGGGAGTAAGATGATGAAGTTTAGAGGGCAATTGGGACTTTGTGAGCAAAAGTGGAAAGGATTTCCTGACCCACAGAACACAGAGGTTAGGAAGAAGGAGGTTGTGGGTAGTCTAGGCTAAGTGATTCTCAGGCTTAGATTTCTAGTTACGTGGTTGTACTGTTTACCTGAGTAAAGGAATAGATACATAAGGAGGAGCACATTTGGGGTACACTTATAAAGTTTATGCCAGCATTATTGTTTGAATTCTCTATTTATTTAATTAAGTCTAAAACACTGGGCTCTTCCTCCAAGCAGTCCCTGCACTTTAGTAATATGTTTTAAAAATTTTCTCACTAAAGGAGAACTCTTATCAATTAGTTACCTACTTCTAATTTTTCTTTATCCTCTCTCTATGTTTTAGTTTCACTTCAATAAAACTAATCAAGAATAAGGGAAGAATAAATTCAAACTATTAGATTAGAAAATAGAAAAGAACCAGAAGATTAATGAAGTGGGTCAATGATAAGAAGCCTTTCCATGTCGTATCAAGAAAATTACCTTTTCTTTCTTAACTTCCTAAAACTCAACTGAGCTATTAGTTGGCCGAGCTATTAGTTGTCATGCTACTGTACATTTCTGCAAGTCTATTAGTGGTTATAGATATTTGTGGTATGCTACATTTCTTAATGCAAATCTTCAAAATATCCCAACAGTCAGTAACAGAGAATGGTAAATAGCAGAGAGAAAAATTGCTATATTTTGTAGAATTTTTGGGCACTTTGGTTCAACTGATGTTTATTGACTACGCTCTGGGCCCCGGATTAGCCTAAATGCTGGTTATCCAAAAATGAACAAGCTGCAGTGTCTAGTCACCATCTAGAAAATATACACTGTGAAGAGTCCTTTAACAAATATAAAACCTCTGGTGTAGTTTGGGCGCAAAGAAACAAGTCATTGGTTCTCCATGGCAAAGTCAGAAAAGGCTTCTCAGAAGAGGTCTCATATTAAAAATAAGTCTAATTTTGTTCTTATATATTTACCACAAATAACTTTAAAATTATGTATATAAATAGGGCCCGAAATAAGTAGGTTACGGTATACTGCATAATCTTAATGCTAACATATATAAATTTTATAATATTTACCTCCACAATGAGTTGATAATGTTGTCTTCCTAAGTAACCTCTCCACCATTTCTGAATTATGTTTGCTATTCTGTGTAAATACCTGAGTGAAAAATATGCTTATTAGTATGCTTTCATTGAAACAAAAATATCTTTTAAACTTGGTTCAGAATATAACTTCTTGAGATTCAAAAAATAAAATTCAAAGCCAAATGTATGTGTACTTTCAAAAAGTGGAGAGTTATCATTGTGGGATAAAATTCTTAATTCCTGGAAGTAGGAAAAAGGCATAGATAACTATTCAATATTTCTTTGGGTTATTGATTAAGTCATTTAAAAAACTTTTTTTCAATTTTTCTTCAATACTTACTCTCTAAAATATTTCTTGATGTTAAGGCTTTAAAACAGGTCACTGTGACATGCTGAGAAATAAGCCAGGAACTATTGATGTGAATCACTTTAAGAATTTAGAAATAATTCTCGAGGTCAAGAAACCTTTCCCTTCTTTGTCTTTTCCTTATATTACTCAGTCTGCTGAATTCAGAAGGACTCTTTTTGCTGCCATGTTTCTCATTTATTGTGAACAAAGGCAATACCTTCACACTCTAATCTGATGTCTGGCTCCTACTAGCTAAGAATATAAGGCCATCTACAGTATAATCCACAGCCCACATTCTGAATTATTACAGTGAGGCATACTCTTCCTCCACCTTAACCAGGAAATTTTTTTTTTCAAAATTAAAGGAAAACTGAAGGAAAGTTTGGGCACTGAAGAAAAAGTAGAATGTTAAGGATCATCTTCGATCTCTTTGCAGTAGGAATAGTATTATTCTGGTATCGTTTACATTTACCTACCAACTTGTTGGAAAAAATTGAAACAGCTTTCTTTTTATTTTGCTTACCAGTCAATGAACTACTTGCTAAAAATACAAGCCCAGTTATTTGTCACATTCTACGGAATTTAAAGAGAAGAATTTTATCAAGTATGTTTGTAATATTGAGAATTGCTAAATGTCAAAAAATGGTCAATATAATTCAGTTTTTTGATATGTAAGAAAAGATGAGCAAAAAAGAATTATATTATTTAAAAGGATATCATATAATTTATTAACTTAATTACAAGTAACATAAATGATTGTTTGAAATGAGGACTACATGCACAAATTACATTTTGTAAGGAGCACATTTTTATGAGTATCTAAATTTTCCATGACAAAATCAATATACCTGATATATGACCGAACTTGACATCCTCGAAACCAGCTCTGAATTTTAACTGCTGCATCATTCTCCTTTTTCCTAAATATATCCACAGCACTTTAAAAAAAAAATAAAGTATTTCATTAACGACTAATATAATTCTTAAGCAAATCAATCTGTTGAACTTAATCCTTAATTTCTTCCAAAATGATAATTATAATTCAACTGTCATTTTAAATAAAATTAAATACTAAATAGAAAAAAGCATTTCAGAAATCATGAGCTATGTTTTATAAATTAACCTTTCTCTGAGGGGCCATGTGCTTTCAACAGCTTTACTTTTTAGTTTCATAATCACTTATTTTGCTACTAATTAATTTCCAAGTGATGTTATAAGGAAATTAAAAAAGTACTGTGTTAGTTTGTCATTTTTTGAAAACTATATTATTTGAATTTACTATTTAAATACAACTATACACACATCACCCAAGATTAAAATTCTTGCATATTTCATTCAATGCATCAGTTCAATGAATTACTTCTCCATTAAATAAATATATCACAGGATGCCAATTCTAGATAGAATTCTCAGAAAGTCCATTTCAGTTGAAGGAGAAAGGGAAAGAAGCATTGATCGGTTGCCTTGCATATATACCCTGACCAGGCATTGAACCTGCAACCTAGGTATGTGCTCTGACCGGGGATCGCCCCACAACCTTTTGGTGTACAGGAGGATGCTCCAACCAACTGAGCCACCTGGCCAGGGCTCTTGACTCACATTACGTTCTCCATATGGGAGATAGAACAGCTTCAAGTCCTTTCCTCCAGGGAGTCTACCCTGACTCCCCATCCTTACAAAAAATTCAGTGGATCAATATGTCTTCACACAGAGAGATACAACATGTTATAATGTGAAAAAAGGTAACCTAGTGCAGTGTTATAAGTTTTCATATTTGTAAAATAATTTTAACTTTGTATATGTGAATGAATAACAGAAAAAACCCGATTTTGTACAAATGAGTTTATTAAAAGTGGCCATATTTAAGGAATGGAATTTCAAAGGAGAAGGCCCAATTGTAAGAGACAAGCACTCTGCCGTGTCCCAGAAGTTGATGGACACCCTCGGACAGGGGGCCCGCAACTGAGCAGCGGCAGGTGCTATGGAGAAGCCAGGAAGGCAGCGTCAGCGTTCCAAGCGGTGGCGGGGTGAGGGGGGTCGGTCACTCTTTCTTTGAAACGTTATCCTAGCCCACACTAAGCTGCCATAGCGCAGGAAACAAAATGTCAGTTATGGCAAAAACAGAAAAGATGCAGCAGTGCACTGTCCAGCAGAGCCAGCAATTCAAAGGAGAGTATGAAAAAGAGAAAGAAAGAATATCTAATTTCATTCGATAAGGCTGAGGAGAAGTGAAATTCATTATAATGGGATAAAATGATTCCTTGTTTACCTAACCTATTTTCGCCACTGACATTCAGTGTTACGGCAGGTCTATTCGCCTTCTCCTTACTATGCTCTATCTAAATTACTGAGCACATCTGGCCCTTCTTTCCCACCAAAATCAACAACTGACTACCTTCACAGAAGAGGAAGAGCAAATACGAATAAAGTATACAGATACAACTGACACGTCTTTTGAACTAACGTATAGCTTTAACTTACCCTTTACTTACAATTGTTATTAGACATGAAGAAGATGAGCAATAAAAATATCTGCTTTGAGTTCATTCTTTCTAATCTCTCCTGGTAATGATGCTAACATATAATTGCAAAGCAAAATTAAATTGTCTTATTTTGGAGTTATAAATACTAATGTATAAAATACAAGCATGCATATTGTATTATACTTATAAGAACTATACATTTTAAAGGGAAACATTTAAAAAATAATTCATAGTTAACTTACCACTAAGTTTTAACTTATGTGCTGAAATCTGACTTCTACACACATTTATCTATTGCTCCCTTTTTTTAACTGCTTAAAAATGAAATTTACAGATACTTGGGTTACCGCTGGGATACTGAATACTGCTACAATATGTCATGAACTGCTAGACATTTTACGTTTAAAATGAAAAATGTGGGTAACACTTTATTTTAATGGTATATTAATTAGTTCCAAATTACAATGAAAATCCTATAGCAGTGAATAAAATATGACATCTACACGAATTTGAAATAAATTTATTATGATCAGTATTATTACAATGAATACTAAATGAATTATTAATGATGAAAGACCCAAAGTATTACCAGGAATGTAATAAAACATCAAGAAAAAGCTGGAAGTTTCCAGTCATTTCATCATCAACTAGAAATAAGTACTAAAACCCTGGATAACACTATATTCATGTGTGTCATTAATGGCTAGAAATGAACCGACAATATATAGAAAATGAAAAAAAAAAGTGTGGTTGACTATCTTTTCACTAATATGCAAAAACGATGCATTTTACACATTACCATATTGTGGTTATTCTGCCCTATGTGTATTAGCTATTGATTAATAAAAACCCAACAGGTTTTCCTTCTCATTATCACATAACTTGCAACTATTTTAGATTCCAGGAATAGAATTCCAATGTTAGCTGCCCTGTATTATAAGATATATTGATGTGTGAAATTATTATTTTTTGAGTATCATTTCACTTTAAGGTCTCAAGGATACCAACCTCCTGAAAGGCAGAAACTATGCTTAATTGAAACTTTCTGTTCTGATTTTCACCCACGTGCCTTGTAAGAAGTCAATAACTACTTGATGAGGAGAAACAGGGCTACATTTTAGGGGTTAGAAGCCATGTTTTGTTTTCATTAACAGTCCGCATTATTATTATTTCACAGCTCAATGGATAATGAGGTACAAATACATTTACAGTGTATTTTTAAAATGCTTTACTATTCGCTTTTCTACTTTTTTCCTTTTCACTTCTCTTCACTTTATTTCCTGAACTATTGAGTCCCAAAGAAATTGACATATGGGCGAGGGCAGTAGGGTGTGGGTGCTGGGGGGGGGTGGGGAGGGCGCTGCAGGGCTCAGCTCAGGTGTCAGAGCCTGTGCAGGCTCAGGTGGGCGGCCACCTGCGGGGAGGATGGCCCAGGAAGGAGGGTGTTCCCATGGCCGGGAGAAGGCCTGGCTCTAGGGCGTCCAGGAAGGGCGAGGGAAGCTTCCCCGCGGAAGGGCAGCCAGCAGTGGGGAATCAGAACCCAAGAGTGATGGGAAGGGAATCCCCATTGGCGAGCAGGTGGGAATTCAGCCTGGGAGGTAGAGGCTGGGGGAAAAGGATGCATTCATGGCTTCAAATTACCTGCTTTAAAAAGTGCCTACTAATTACAAAGGACCCAGTGTATAGACCAAAGTCATCCTTGGATGTCTGGCAGAAGCCTTGCTAAATTTTGCCAGTCTGAACTGAGTATCATGAGTAATAGAAAAATCAGCAGTTAATTAGAATCAGATGGGACTCATATTTATCCTGTAAGCTGTCATTTTTTTAGGTGAATAAGACTGAGATGATTGTCCAATTAGGTGACTTGTCTAATTAGACCAAGAATGCCATCGGGAACTGTTGCTTACATTGGAGTCAGAGACAAATTGACCAAGTTCACCGGGACGATGGGTTCCAGAATGAGGCTGGCACGTGGAGCAGCCGGCCTTACTTCATGCAGAGATTTGACGACTTGGATCCCCCTACCCCAGACACAAGCTCTGGGCTAAGATGGATCAAACTTCGCTAGATCCGTGTTTGGCACGCAATTTACACTTTCTAAATCGTGTTCTCCTCGGTTGAATGACTCTTGAAGTCATTAAATAAAAAAATAATTATAGATAATAGATAATTTTTATCTTTAGCTATTTTTAGTATGTTTACTTAAACCAGGACTGAGGAGTGATGGAAAGATTCATTTCTTAGAGCAATAATTATTGCGCAGCTATTATGTGTCAGAAACTATGATAGACATGGGAGACCGGAATAATGATGACCAAAAAAACGGCACTCTCCACTTGTAGCTTAAGAGGGACGATACATAGTATCTCACAGCAGAACGTAGAGCTGAACGGTGATTGCGTGTTGGAAGAGAGGGGCATGGAGTGCACCTTAAGAATGGGGGGTAGGTGAGACAAACGTTAGAAAAAGACCGGCTCAGGGAGATCTTGCCTTAGTGACTTATTTTCCACGGGTCCGCCTTGCCACTGCATTCTACTTCACTGTTTCGGCATTTCTCTTGAGTTGGAAAACCTCCCGGGGCGTGGCTTCCAGCAGGCCCTGGGGAAACGGAACCTCTCTTCCTGAGACGAGAGTTTGGGTGCAGGCAGGTGGACAAGAAAGCTAGTGCCTTCCTTAACCCTCTTCTATCAATTAATCTACCGATGCTACTGTTCACGAAACGGTGAGATGCTATCAATTCAGGGACACAAATGAGTCATAGGACAGAGTTCAACGATGTTCGTGAAATAAAGGAGGCACGGATTCCCAAGTGGACGGCGGACACACTGGCTCGCCCAGGTAAGGGAGCCCAGGTGACCCCGATCAGATTCCTAAACCTTCTTTCAGCAAATTGTGGAACGATGATGTCAAAGGAAAACACTTCATTTCACAATGCTATCTACGCTGGGCTTTTCCTTAAATCATCTCGGCCGGCATCTATGCCCCCCACCATGTATAACCAACCCCCTGTATGGTGATCCTGCTTTGAAACTTGTGACTCTCTTTGCAGCCCACAAATGAGCGGGGAGATTTGTAATTATGGGGTTAGGAAATTTGTTAGTAGGAGACTCCTGCCGAGGAGCAAGTGCCTACAGTGAAGCCAGCCCCCTGCGCGACCGCCGCGCGGGTGGCTTACCTGTTCCTGAAGTAGTACTGCTGCGCTAGGGTCTTGGCCCGCGCCTGCAGCCGGGCCAGCGTGGCCATCGCCTCCCGCCTCCGCTTGCCCACCGCTGTTGCTATCGGTCTCCACGGCAACCGGGCCAAACCACGAGGCAGGTTCCGAGGGGGGACCCACTTTTCGTTTCCTCCGCGTTATTTTCACCGTTTCAGTTTATAAAACATTACAAAAACATAATACATTTTGAGCAGGAAGAAAGTTTCATTCCTTTGCCTCTGAGCGTAAAAGCAGGAGACTCGAGGCGTGCGCGCTGCGGGGGTAGTGGGGCGGGTGGTTGCTCCCGACATCCGGCTTCCGCCTCCCGTCTGCTTCCGGAAGCTCCGCTCAAAATGCTGAACTGCTCTTTGCAAGTCGCTGGTGCGGTGGTGGCTGGAGTCTGTTCTCGGGCCTGAGCCTCGAGGCCAGGCTCCCGGGTGTCGTTAATGTTCGGGGCCGCCGGGCGCCAACCGATCGGAGCTCCCGCCGCCGGGAACAGCTGGTGAGGCTGGCTGCCCTGGGGATGGGCGAGCAGGACCGGGGTGCTGGCCGGAGGCCGCTGTACCTGGCCTGGCAGGGGGAGGGAGAGGTGGCGGACGACCTGGACACGGGCCTTGCTCCCACGCGTGCCTGGGATGCTCGCGATCTCAGGTGTGCGCAAAAGATCTGCGAAGGAAGACAGCGGACGCTGGCTGATCGCTTGCCGAACACTCCGCAGGATTTTAGGAGCAAAGCTGTCTGTGCTGCCGGGGCAGTTCACTTCCTCGCGATGGTTGACAAGATTAGGGGCAGGAAGAAGGCCTCTGAACCCCGCGTTTCCCTTTTAAAGCCGCCTAGATCCTAGCAGGTGTCTTGGAAGGTCAAATCCCAGAGCTCTAGCGTTCTGGAAGTTTGGCGGTGGAAGCGACCTCACCTTCCCATCCCACCCCACCCCACCCCACCGCACCCTTTTTCCTTTTTTGGAGTGGGAGTAACCAACCTATTTCAGTTCTGAACTAGAAGGAACGTTTCATTATTGTCCAAATGTGATAGGTATGGGAGTTTCCTAAGGACAAGCAAATGCCAGGATTAAGTCTGGGGTTTCACTGGTCTGCAGTGACGTACCAACCAGTGGCACTTTAGAATAATATATTGCTCTGACTTTTCAAAGTGCTTTCACTTTATCCTCCTGACAGCCCTGTGACAGGAGATTATGACAGGCACAGAATACTAAGTGATTTGTCCAAAATGGCCAGGCCGATTTTAGTCCTAGAGCTGGGAGCTTGGTGACGGGTTTCTAGCGGAAAATGCCGCCCGTCCAGTTTCCTCCTAAGCTCTTTTCCACCAACCGCACACAAGACAAGCAATGAAACAAACAAGCAGATTTTTCCACTGACAATTAATTCTCAAACATAAATGTTGAACAGCAGGTGAAATGTGGCTAAAAAAAAAAAAAAAGTATATCCATTCCTAGATCCAGTAGCAAGTGAGAACAGGGGGGATTCTAGTAGTCTCTGACCTCCAGGAATTTATTTTGCATCACCTATCACTGAAACGTTAAAAGAGTATTTTGTTTAAAATGTTTTAAAAGTGACCAAATCATTCTGTAGTTAATTTATTTTATAATGATGATAAATTGGTTATGCTCCTTTTTAAATTCTCACATTTTCCATTCAGAAAAGCAGGGAACACATTTTTTTTTAAAAATGATGATGTGATTAGTATAGAATAAAACACGTATCTCTTAAGTGTTTAGTATTTTTCGACTTGGCGGTGGATACACTGTGTAACCACCGCACCAAACAAGACATGAGACATTCCCATCGCCCTGGAGTTCTGTCTCCAGGGTGCCTGCCTTAGTGTTTCACTGTTCAGTATCTTGTTAAGGGAGGGAGGCAAAATATGCTGTGTAGATTGGGCTGTTCTTGTGTTGATATTGATAAATGAGCTATTGTTCATTTATTTAGTTATTCATTAATTTGTTTATAGGACAGGAGACTACTTAATTAAAAAATACATATATAACTCTTTGAATTCCTTCCTCTCCCTTCCACCTAAATCACGGTAAGGTACAACTTTATAATACAGTTCTCTTTTGAAGAGCCTATCGAGTTTCATGTGGCAGCAAACATATCACCCTTAGGACACCCGACCATAAAATAGTGTCTAGCACTAAAACAGTTTTGTTTTTTTTTAAATTGATTTTTAGAGAGAGAGGAGGTGGGGAGGGAGAGAGACATCGGTTTGCTGTTTCTTGGTGTATCAGGACCATGACGCTATAGCCAATTGCCCTCTCTGGCCAGGGCTGAATCAGTGTTTTTGAATTGAATTCTTAAAATTATGCCTGATTTGGCAGAATGAATGTGTTCCGGATGACTGGAACCCTTATTTTCTAGTTCATCTCCACAACCATCCTGTCATTCAGCCTTTCTTAATGGGATTTTTTCATTCACTCTTGGGACATTCACAATACTATGCATGTATGTTTCACCTCAGTGGCAGATCCCAGTGGCCCTGGGGAAGCTACTACTAAGTAACAAGCTACCACCAAGTTGTTACTTGATGGCAGGTTTTATATACATATCATCTTATGTAAACTCAATTGAGGTAGGTTATTTATTTATTTATTTTTTTGGATTGTAGAGATGGCGAGAGGGGTGGCAGATAGAGTTTAAGTAACTTTACCAAGTGTCATATTTGTAGTATGATTCCAGTATATTTTACAAAAATTATTAACCATCTTTGTATACTGCCTATGATGTCTGAATAATACATACTATCTTAACGGATATGTGAACTGGAAAGTATATGCCTGGATTTGTTAACTAACCTGGAATTCCTGATGTATCTTCACTCATCTTAGCTACAACTTGTTCTCTAATGTGCAGGAAGCAATTGGGGAAATGTAGATGTTTTATCTTTTAACATTTTGCAAAGTAGAACTGATACTATATTTTATCGTTAAGAAGCCTAAGTAAGAAAAGTTTTATACAATTAATCAATAAAGATCCTATGATTGCTTTGTGTGTCAGGAAATTAATATATGTTTTGTTCAAGTTAACCATATAAGTGATTCATATGTTTTTATAAAGTGTCCGTCACTCCCTGACTCATCACACACATAAATTTTTGAAATTAGGATCCAAAATTATCTATCTTGGTACATCTGATGTTAACCTTTTAAAACTTGATTTATTGGATGGACAAATAACATTTTGTATTTATACATATTTTTCTTTATTTTTACATTATTAATAATTTGTTTAAATTCAATTTCTGGGGTTTTGGGAGAAGTATTTTTAAAGATTGAACTAAACAAATTTGTGTTGGTTGTGGACCTTTTTTCCTACAGTTTCATTCCTATTTGGTATTTTGAGGTTTTTTTTTAGGTCTGGAATACTACATAATGGAAAATTAGCATTTTTTAATAACAGTTCTTTGTTTTGTTGTCTTGACCTTAGATCCATCTTGTCCCATTTGTCTGAGACAAGTTTCTGTTTCAACAGTTAGGAATCAAAGCAATGGCTACTCTGATTTTGGGCATATAAATCATTAATCCTGCTGTAGCTCCTTAGCATCCTCATTTATGGCACGTTGGAAACCTTTAAACCATCTTCAGTAATTTGCCCTTAACTGACACATTCACCTAACTAAAAATTTAGAGTATCTCCCTTGTCAGTATGACAGAAATTTTGAAATCTGGGTTGTCTAAATTTTTAATTATCACTTTTCCTGGGCTACTGTTCATTTACTTAGTTATTCATTAATTTGTTTATCCAGCATATTTTTTTTGAAATGTCTGTGATGTGTCAAGCATTGTGCTAGGTGCTTGTAATTAATATTCAATTGTCTTCATTTTCATTGCTAGTCTAGGACTTCAGAATATATTATATATTCAATACATATTAAGCAGTGACCATGAATAAGCAATGAATGAGACTAATTTCCTACATATAGAACCTGCTTAGATGCTCTGTAATATATTCATGGTAACAGGAATTACGATGAATTATCTTTTAGATTCTACTCTTTTTTTTTTTTTTAGTTGGACATTGATTCAGGCAGTTTTTTTATTCCATAGTTTATATTTTGAAAGCGATTAGAGTATAAGGAAAAAAGTTGTGAATGACTCTTGTAGTCATTAAATGAAGTAACAACAAATCAAAAGTATGCTCTTCAAATTTAAATAATCATTGAATTTGCCTTAGTAGATCACTATTTGGAAAGTAGAATTAGACTTTCTTTTAAAGCCACTTGTGGTTTGTTGTTCACTGAGTTGCTAGGGTGAGGAGGAAAACAAGGTTTCTGAGTGTCCTGTGGTGACAAAAGTCACAGCAGCAGCTGCCAGCAGCACCTCCACTGAGTGCAGGTGGCTGGAGCTTTGGCTTCCAGGATGGGAAAAGTGGGGTTTTGTGCAGTGGGGAACTGCGTGACTCTTAATTTGGAAGGATGATTTTCTTTTAAGTTTTTTTCTTATATCTGCATATTATTAAGATAGAAGTAGGTCTAGATACAAAGCATTAATTTGTTTAACTTGGGATTTTTTTAAAGATCTTTAAGATCTTTGGAGTCTTTAAGAAGTCCCTGAATTTCTTGAAATTGTATGCAAGATTTTTGCAAATGTCTGCTTTCTGCACTTCCGCCAACAGTCAGAGTGCTTCAAGACTCAGAGAGGCTGCAGGCCTTTGATTTCCTATGGTGTCCTCCGCCTCTATAATATGGTTATACATTTAAATTAGGCTGATTTGATAGTTCAGTGGCCAGTTTCTCTTCTTTAGCAATAACCTCTAACCACCATCTCTGCTGAAAGCTGAAATAACTGCTCTCACATATGAAGGTCCCACTCTCATCCACAAAGAATCCCTTCAAGGTAGAAATTATACCCATTTTTATAATGAATAAATAATCAGAAAGTAAGTAATTTGTTCAAGGTTCCATGCAGCACTCATGTTCTCTACAATTTCCTCAGCATTTTTTTCCCCTAGGGAATTTTATTCCACATGTATTGCCCAACGTTAATGTAATGTTACAAGCAATTATTTACATATTTCAGAATAACACAGGTGCCCCCACCCTGATGCTACCTTTTTCAAAAGGAGAGGAAAGGTTATTCCAGTAATGATCTAAGTAGTCAGGTCAAGGAGTCTCTAGCCAGCCCGAGTACTGACACTCAATGTCAGGGATGTTGAGTACTGCCTGGTGGAGGGCAACAGATGAACCTGACCTCTGACCAAAAATTGTTACCTACAACTGGCACATCGAAGTTTGAGTTGAATGCACATTTTCATTACTCAGCATAGTCTAATACCACCTGAGAAAAACAAAATGCATATCTACTCATTTCCCTTGTACCATCAACAGCTGTCAATGAAATGTTATGTTAGACATGATAACCATTACAAACTATTCCCAAAAGACTTCATTTCCCAATGACAAGGAATGAATTTCAAAGAGAATTTGTTTTATGAATGTGAATAGAAAACTTTAAAATTAGCAAAGTGGTAACTCACTGAATTTTACTATTTACAAACTTTTAACCGGTGGATGCTTAATCAGCATAGAGGAAAGCTATATATTTTCCGGGTTCCCCTTCAATAGGAAAGGCCTTGTTTGAGAGGATATCCGTAGGGTAAAGTGTTACAGTGCAGTGGCTGTCGGTACAACTGTGAGGGCCAAGGAAATAAATGAGCTACCAGTCACGTGATGGCCTCTTAGTGTGGCTTTATTTCTGGGAGGCCAGCGATGCTGTTAGTTACTCCAGAACTGGGGGGGGGGGGGGCTGAGTCTTCTTTTGGACAAAGAACCCTTATCCTAATACTTGTTAAACGGGCTTTCAGTTAATTTTTAAAGTACATTTCTTATATTCAAAGATAACAGGTCTCTCAGAGTACATTTTTTCCAAAGAAATAGTGGCAAGGGAAAATAACTAACTATTTATTGTAGTAAAGGAAAAACAGAAAGGTAATGGCTGGTGTAGAGGTAACGAAGACAAGACCCATTTGGCTCCTCAATGACCTGTTCTCAACGTGAGTGATATACAGAAAACTTTTCAAGGGAAAAACACATTTCAGTGGCCCTCAAGAGTCCATTTACAAAAATGTGTGTGTGTGTGTGTGTGTGTGTGTGTGTGTGTACACACACTATTCACTTTGTTTTTTTAAAAATAATGTGTCCCTGTGGGCTCCTTGTTTTGAATGTCAAAAGAGACAGATCTGGAAAACACAGACCGCGGTCACTGAAAGACAACACCTTGCTCCCGACGGCTCACAGTGCATGCGTGGCTGCCCACAACAGCCCTGGTCCTTTGAACTCAACTGCCTCTCAGCGCCCACACTGCCCTCTGCCTACTGTTGGTGCAGGTCTCCCGCCTCTTTTTCTGTTCCAAGGAATATAGTACCTAAGTGTGAGTCACTTGCATGTATCCGGTCTGTCTCAGCAATTAAAATCCACCACCTGCAGCTTAATCAACCATCAACAAAAGTGCGGACTGGGCACTGGAACCGTGTACTTGATTTCTGGCTCTAGCTGGGCAAGCACTCAGGCTCTGGACCCAGGCTGCTGGAGTTTGAATCTGTTCCCACTGCTTCTTAGATGTGCCTCTTTGGGCAAGCTGCCCTTAATCTCTGTCCCTGTGTACTTCACTCACCACCCCATGGGGTTACTGTGTGAGAAAGAAGTCAGGCAATGCACATGAAACACTTAGACATGGGCCTGGCGCATAGTAAACACGCAAGGGTTAGAAGCTGTTCCAGGTGCATTACCTTGCAAGTGGTAAATCCAGTTGAATCACAATGTGTTTGTTTTCAGGTCATCATTAAAATGAAAAACAAAGCTGAAAGTTATTGGGAACCTGCAAATGTCTGAAATTATAACGATATATGCCAAGCAGGAGTCAGCAAACTGTGGCTTCCCATCACTTGGTTTTGTAAATAAAATTTCATTGGAACGCAGCCATACCCATTCATTTATGTATTGCTCAAGGCATTTCCCCCCTTAGGAGGGTGAAAGTTGAGTAGTTTTGATGGAGACCCAATGACCTGCAGAACCTAAAATGCTTCCTCTTTGGCCCCTTATAGAAAAGTGTGCCTATTTCTGCTATAGACTATAGAAATTACGTAACCCTCTATAATTAGAATATTGTGACCCCTGAGTGCTTCTAGGACTCAGTTTGAGAAATGACTGCTCATGATCTTCCTGAGAAGGGTGCCTATTTGAATCACCTATAATGTTCAAAAAATAAAATTGAATCCTGGGCCCTCTAGCACATCAACTGATTTCAAATCTTTGAGAATTGGGCTTGGAAGGGTCCAGGATAATTTATTAAAGTTCCCAAAGAATACTGATGTTTGTCCTTGCTGACTGACTAGTAGATACTTTTTATAGGTCAATGGTTTCTGTTTATTTCTATTTAAAAAAAAAAAAAGGCCAAGCAAGATGATGAACACACAATAGAGTGTGCAGATGATGTATTTTAGAATTGTATGCCCCAAACCTGTGTAACTGTATTAGCCAATGTCACCCCAATACATTCAATTAAAAAAAAAAGAAAGAAAAACAAAACAGCCCAGAGTCTGCTTCAGGTGAACTATGAGAGAAATAACGGGCCATTGTAGAACAGTAAGGCTCCGGTTTGACCTTGAACTTGGTTTCTGTGTCACTGGGTTACCAGGTTAGTGTGGTGTAGATTTGTGCCGTGTGTTTGGTTAAGCCCTTTTCACATACATCACAACTCTGACGTATGGGCCTGTCAGTCTCCTTCCGCCGGCACATCCTGGTGTGACCGGGGCGGCGGGGGTGGGGGGTGGGGTATGAGTAGAGGGGTGTATCCGCAGCCTTCTTAGAAGTGGGCCAGGGGATTGAGAAAGTTCTGTGTTTCATCTCGGAAAAGAGGCTCCCGGGAAAAGACAGGAATAGACTAAAGAACAGTTTTGTAAGCAGAAATAACTTTTCCGTAATCACACAGTAAAACCAAACCTTCCTCACCGAGACCTTCCATTGCTGGTATTATGCGCATTGTATCTTGACCTAACTCCTACGTTTAATCAATGAACATATAAGAAGGAGGAGCTGAAAATAAGTCAGAATATTTGACACTCGAGTATCTTGGAGAGGAAGATTAAGTAGTTTTGGAAATTTCTTGGCCATGCCTACTGTTTTTAGTTAGAGTGAGCTGTGGGCTGCACTCAGCCGGGGTGGTAAGGTCTGCACCGGCTGTGCCCTTTAAATGCTTTTCCTTCTGTGCACGACGCAGGCATTTCAGTCGGACCATGGAGGAGCTGGTGCACGACCTCGTCTCCGCGCTGGAGGAGAGCTCGGAGCAGGCCCGCGGCGGCTTTGCCGAGGCCGGCGACCACGCGCGCAGCCTGTCCTGCCCGCTGAAGCGCCAGGCGCGGAAGAGGCGCGGGCGGAAGCGCAGGTCCTACAACGCGCACCACCCGTGGGAGGCCGGCCACTGCCTCAGCGAGGGCTCTGACTCCAGCCTGGAAGAGCCGAGCAAGGACTACAGGGAGAATCCCAACAGCAGCAAGAAGGATCACAGCGACTCCGACGACCAGATGCTCGTGGCCAAGCGCAGGCCCTCGTCGAACCTGAACAACAACGCGCGGGGGAAGAGGCCGCTGTGGCTCGAGTCGGACCTCGCCGTGGACGGCCTGGGCAACCGGACCCTGCGCCGCCGGCGCAAGGTCAAGCGCATGGCCGTGGACCTGCCGCACGACTTCTCCAGCAAGCGCACCATGACGCAGCCGCCCGACGGCTGCCGGGACCAGGACATGGACCACGACAGGGCTTGCCAGTACCAGGAGTTTACCCGGAGCAAGGTCAAGAAGAGGAAACTGCGGGTCGTCAGGCCGGGCCCCAAAGTCCAAGATGAAGGCGTGGTCTTAGAAAGTGAGGAGATGAGCCAGACCAGTAAGGACAAAATGGAGTACGAAGAGCAGAAGGTCTCCGACGAGCTCATGAGCGAAAGGTGACTTCTCCATTTCCTATTAAGATGCGTGTCGATAGTTCGGTGGTTGAAAATGTTTGGTATTTTAATTAATTGTTTCGAAATAATTATGAATTATAAAAGTGGTAGTGCTATTACTGTTTAACCATGGTCATATTTCCTTATAATTTATGATGTTTAGCACAAAGGAAAATTGCTTATTTGATTTGCACAAAGTCTTTTGATTGTGTAATGACTTAATTTTCAGCTACAAAGAGAAAAAGAAATAGATTTTCATTGAGAAAGGATGTGCATTTGAATAACACAACTGTAACTCTTAGAATTGTGTTTATAATTATGTGGTTAATTATAGAGTTTTACTGTTTGGTTCTTTTTAGTTTCACAATTTATCAGTTTATTGTGATTACTGAGAATCGAAAGTTGATACCACTTCAACATGTGTGGCTTGATATTTTCAGTGTGTAGCTTGCTCGGAATTCTGATCACTCATGAATTGTAAAACCCAATTTACAGTCTAGAACACCTGGTCTTGTCAAGAGACAAATGACAGCAAGGGCCCTTGAGCAGTTAGTCAGTCTACTCTGTCTGTTCTGGAAGGCAGGTGGACCACAGCGATACTCGGTACTATTTTAACAGCATCAAAAAGGTAAATGGTGATTTTTCTTTCATACAAAACTAATGCTACTCGAAGGAAATAAGAAAGCGTTGACTCTCTTCATCCTTTTAGGTGTCCTCAAAGCCAAATGCAGAGCTGCGATGCTGAAAAACATTGCTTAGAAATGGTCTGGGAAAGGGTATTTGATATTTATTTGTAGGACTTACATTTTAATCACATTTAATCAAATGTGATCTATGGAATATATACACATATTTATAGATGTGTACATGTACAGTTTCTGGCACAAATAATGCCCCGTTTTTTATTGCCAACTCTTTCATTACAAAATCATAAGCATGTCATTCTGTAACATAATAATATCACATTCAAGCACACCATAGGACATGTTCGGTGAGATGGTCAAGTTAAAACTATAAATTATTACACCCATATTATTACTCTACCAACCACACTCAAGCAGGCGTTACTTCTGCCAGACCCTATATATCAAACATATATACATATATACATGTATGTGTATATAAACTATTGACACATTTTTGGTGGTTCTTGTATGTATGATTCTGATTGCAGATATGAGTAGGACCTGGTAAAATTTTATAGAATGGACCTTTTATTAGAGATGGCTTACTTTTTATGCAACTTTTCTAAAGAGGTAAAAATTACTTAGCAGACGTATTAGGAAGTCTTTGAAAAGTTTACAGTGTCTGCTTTTCTTCCAGGGAAGTTGTCGTTTTTATACGAGAATGATTTGCCTGTGCTAGTATTAGGCCACTGTGATGGGGAGCACTCAGCCGGACTTGAGAGTAATTATCTTGCTCACTTGCTGGGAGGGAGGGCCTGTGGCAGCGGAGATAAGTACTCAATTCTGGATTATTCAAAGATCACCTGCTTTCTGGATTGATTGTCCAAGCCACCCCCTGCCCCCTGCTTTTATTGATGCCTGCTTTTTATTGACAGACTTCTACCCTGGAAGAGAAATGAGATGAAACTATTTCTCTTCATTGTAAAAAGCATTTGAATACCTAAGATATGATCAGTCTACCCAGCTATCCACAGACCAGGTACACATTTCCACAGAGGATGTTTTCACTGGCAAATATACTAAAACAATTCTTTTTCTCTTATTTTAAAACGTAACCTATGTAACTTTTTCTTGTTACTTAAAAGTTAGTCACATATTCCTTCTACAGGAAGACTGCTAAATATTTAAGGTATTTATCCAAGTTAAGTTGTTTGAGACTACTTCCAAAGCTTTTCTACTATAAAAAGCTACGTATTTCTTTGGAGCTGATGGAGAAATAACTGAACTACTTCACTCCGTGAGTTTGGTTGAATAAGCCTCGAGGAACCATTTACTCTTCCCATGGTACCAAGACCAGTGCTAGGGCAGAGCAGTTCTCTGCAGCCCCGTCTTCTGGAGCAGCCGACAGCAAGTGCGACAGCAGATGTGGAGACCGCAGGGGGTTCAGAGGAAGGCGCCGTGAGGGAGGCCTCTGCGAGGGGCCCTGAGCTCACGCGGCACTGGCCCCGTGGGACGCTGGCGGAGGGAAGTAGCATATTCCTGCGCAGAGGGGACGCCGTGCACAGGTGTGGCCTGTGACACAAGGGTTTGGGAAGGTACACAGAGTTCACTGTCACTGGAATAGAGAGTGGGGTTGAGACCAGGCAATGAGCAGGTCCCAAAGGCCTCCTGTGCTGTGTGTGGTAAAGGGCTTGCATTTTGTCACATAAGTGAGGGGAAGTCTGTGAAGAAACTCAGTTGGATTTCCATGTTATCAATTAGATTAACATTTTATCAAGATAGCACAAGTGATCCAGAGGACAGCGTTTTGTTCAGCTTTCAGTTGACTTCTGGTGTGTCCTTAAGTGGGAGGAGTTTTGGCTGTGACAGCAGAGGGGCATTTGTAAGAGCTAGAGCCAATGGATGGTTGCCTGGGAGGGTGGAAGAGGAAGGGGACTCTCCAAAGAGGTCCAGGTTTCAACAGGAGAAAACACAGGAAATGAACAGATTGGTGGCAGGAGGTTGGGATTAGTGTCCACATACTAATTCGGCAAGCCTTCGTGGAACATCTTTGAATACTGCGTTATAAAAGTCACACTCAGAAACCTGAGAAGAGGTGTCCCTGTGGATAAGCCGTAGCGGTCATCAGATGCTGAAAATGAGAAGTCTCCCTTTCATCTAAGTTTTTGTCTTGACCTCCTGAACACCGAAATGGCAACATGATGTTTGGAGCAACTAGCAAGATGTTATGAAGTGAAATGTAAATGGGAAACCGTGTCATTTAAAACACACATAAAATATCTCAAATTAGGACAAGGCTCATTAAGTACTAAGAGCTGGACTCAGGGGATCCTGATTTCCTGCTTTCTTTAAGAAGAGGGGAGGGGGCAAGGCAGACAGAGATGGCAGAGGAGACAGGGATACCCCCTAGAAGAAAAAAGAAACAAAAGGACCAGAGATGGGGATAAAAGAATGTAGGTGGGGACCCGCCCACAGAGAGCCTTGAAATCTCAATCGAATCCTGCAAGTATGGGGAAGTAATTTTAGATTTTTAACAGAAGACTATGAAGACTTTTCAGATTTATGAAGAAGTCGCAGAGGCAGCGCCCAGCGCCTGTGCCGTCTGTTCCCGCATACCCCGCACCCAGTTTTCCCCGTTATTAGCATCGGACCTTACACTGGCCCATCCGTCAGACTTGATGGGCCAGGGTCGACACATTATTAGAATTCCCTTTGTTTTTATTTAATATCCTTTTTTCTGTTCCATGATCCTATTCAGGATATCACAGGATTTTTAGTCAACAAGTTATATTTTGAAAAGATGAACCTGGCTGTTATGTAGAATATCATAGAGGAGGCAAAAATAAATAAATACCAAAAATAAATGAATAGTGCATAGATTCATAATCATTTACGCACAAATCTGAATTCTGAAAGCTGTGAAAAACTAATTTATTTATGGCCAGACCTAATTTGACCTATATTTAACATGGATATTCATTCATTTAATTGAAAAAGTATATTAATATGTTTGATTATGGACGACTACCTTTAACCCATCTTAGGCATTTTAGTACATACTTTTCTAAAGTTAGAAGAATTCTGAATTTTAAGTAAATTTTGATTCAAGGGTTTTAGGAGAAGAATTGTGACCCCACCTTTGGATGCTAAGGTCTGTCCTTTATTAGGGTTATGTTGATGGCGGCAGACAGGAAAGCACTGCTCAGTCACAGACAAGAGGTCATGAGTAGTTTGGACAATTAAGTAGCAAAAAGATAAAGTTTGTGAAGTGTTTTTAATAAATACTCTTAATGCCACTATGTAGAGAAGAGCATGTATGACGTGCTAGTAAATAAGAAAATGTGAATTTGGTGCTCTTAGAAAGTATTCTCTTCCATTAATACTTGTGCACTATAGGGAGCTTCCTAGAGTCTCTTAATTTGAAGAAAGAGGAGAAGGTAGTAATTCAGAATTCCTTTGGAAAGGTGTCACTCAAATTCCTTATAGTTTTTGTTTATACTTATTTTTTTAAAAATCCAAGAAAAACCGCAATATTTTATATTCAGAAAATGTATATGTGTTTAGATGTCACCTACAATTTTAATCCTAAACTCTCAATTTAAATATTTAAACTAGTTTGGGATTAAAAAAATAAGATAGGTTACAGAGTTCTCCATATTAATGGAAAATGTATTATAATATAAAAAATCAGCTGGGGCAATATTCTGATTGGTAAATTAAGAATTATAGTAAAAAAGAGAGTACATGAGAAATTTTAAAGAACATCAATTTTCTTTACAGGCCAAACTTACTATTACATGACTTGTCCTTGTGGCTTTTTAACTAACTCTATTATCACATAAGTTTTGCTTCTGTTAAAACAAGCATTGCTTCTATTAGAACGTATAGTGACAGTTTATTCATGTCATTTGGCTATTTACTGTTTGAACTTCAGTGAAAGTAATGAAAACCTATTACTTTTGCATGCTCCTTCCTTCATATTGGTAACATTCTTTTTTGCTCAGTTTTTGCGCAGAAGGACCTTCACTTTGGACTTAACGTATCAACCTTTTTTCTTCCTTGCCAAGGAATACAGTGGTTGTGAATTCTTCAGTAACGCCTCTGCCAGAACGTTTGCGAATGTGCTTGTGAAGGGTGATCTCACCCCAGGCCCTAGTATGCCGTGCACTGAAGGCAGGCAGGCTTAAGCCGCCCTTGACTGAGGCTTCCCAGGCTCCTTGAGCAGCGGACCGCACGAGGAAGGAGCGGTGAGCACTTGATGAGAGCGGAGGAGGAGACGCATCCATTCTGTCCGCACCGTGGCAGCCGCCTCTGGCTTACTGTCAGCGTCCCATTAGAGCCCCACAGTTTTCTGTGCCAAAAGTAATACACTCTGTAGTGAGTGGAACCAGGATATTTGCAGTTAGATTTTTTTAAAATCGTCTTGTTTTCTTTCAGATCTTTGTCAGGCTTAAGTCCCATCCGAGAGCTGCCACGTCTCTTGAAAATGTTACGGCCGAGAGATCAATTGTTGTTTTGATCTCTTTTTCTTCTTTTCCCTCATTGCAGCGATTCCAGCAGTCTCAGCAGCACTGACGCTGGGTTGTTTACCAATGACGAGGGAAGGCAAGGTACTGACCTGTCATTTTGTTCTCTCTTTGGAAAAACGTCTTCATTGTAAAGTGCACTTATTGCCCATTATTTCCTAAGCTGACGACCGCAATCCGTTTACCTTACACACACTTCTCAGTGGACTGGGGTTTAGTTTTCTGATGTACTGGGAAAGCATCCTGTCTTCACAATCTGAAGTAATTGATTATCTCCAAAAGCTGGTATGTGGAGCTAATAATGTTCAGGAAGGATTATCTTCCTTGAGAAAGCTTTCGTACCTCAGTTTTTGCAGTTTTGATTCTTTTAGTAAGATCCCAAGACACTGGTTCTCTGTCTCCACCTGATTTCAAATGTATTTAATTTCATTTAAGCATTTATAAAGTTGGATTTACAAGTCATTTGTCATTTTCATTTCGTTGTGACATTTAGCTATCCTATCCAGTTTATGATTAGACAATTTTCCTAAGTTCAATATTGTAAACTGTTAAACAGTGATGTTTGGCAACTTCGATCTTTTTTATCTTTGACATTTCCTGAAGGATTTCCTACTTTTGCATGGCATTATTTTGAAACTATCTGTTCTGGAAGAAAATATAGACACTAACAAGGGGGCAGCAGATCTACATGCAGATACTTAATCATAAATGTTAACTTCATTTCTCAAGAGTCTTGAGAGGGAATTAGTAAATTTTAAGGGAAACAACAAAATTTATTGTATTCAATTATTAAATAATCATGTTTATCTTACCTATGAATGATTTGTCACATATAAACAGATGCATAACTTTTTTTAATGGCCATAGACTTTTTGAACTTGAGACTTTGCTGAAATATGGTAAAAACCTAAGGTTAAGATATACCTAAATTCTTGTTAAAATACATGTCTCCCTAAAGTTATAAATGAAAATACTTTAAAAAAATAACAATTTGTTAAGCTTATCAGTCTTTGAAAAACATTGAGTACCTCAGAAGAATATGCTAATGTTTCTTGTGAGTTTGTTATATTTTACATTAATAAGTGCTTTTTTTAAATATCAAATTACTTTAAGTTCTTATTTAATTCCTAAAACATCCCTATGAGAGTTGTTTTTTTTACGATGGTAAAACCTAAGCTAACAAGGTTTCAAGTAATGTCCCAATACTGGAAAACACCAGAATTCTCATTGGTCTGTCTGACTTAAGAGCCCACGTTTTTAATCTTTGGCTAATTGATTTCCCTATTAAGAATAAAGTTGTGTATCACATCAAAAATAAAATAACACTGTTTTTCTATTACAATGCTGTCTTAATTGGAATTAAGATTTAAGGTAGTCAGTTTCAAGGGACTCCCTTTCTTTTTCTACTCTTATACCTAATCTGTGAAATTTTAATATTTAATTATTAATTATTTAATAATCAGTCACGGTGTGGAAAGAGACCTGACTTTGGGTGGTGAGTGCATGATGCAACATACAGATGATGTGTTATAGGGCTGTATACTCGTATAATTTTACTAATCAATATACAATTTTATTAACCAATGTCACACCAATAATTCAACAAAAATTCTTAAAAAAGAAAACAAAAATCAGTAAAAGTACTGATATTTATGTGCTTTTTTGCTAATTTTTATTAAATCCTCAATTGAAATAAGTTGGTGATTCCAGTTTTCCAACTGTTTTCAATTTTTTGCTCCCTCATAATTTGAAATACAGCTACTTCCCATAAAACCATTTTCAATCAAAGCTTAAGGTTTGTTTTAGTTTGCATTTTATAATATTTGTGATGAGAGATTTTGGAAATCAGAACTCTTTTTTTTTTAAAGAAAAACATTTGTGGAAGTTGTGGTGGCATCTCAGAAACTAGAATTTGTAGTTTTCTAAGAACCACAAAGAAGACTTTAATGAATATCACATCCTATTCAAAATGCCATTTTTCTCATTTCTAAAAGCCATCTGCCTTCTGTATTTTTGCCTCATTATCCATCTCTTTATTATTCCTTTTTTAAAACCACAAAACACGCTGGCTCCCCGCGTGGGCGCTGCTGGTCCAGCCTCAGGGTGCGGCCGCTGGGCCAGGCGCTCAGGCCGCTGTCGGCGGTGTTCCCTCGGGGACGCACCTTGCTCTAGTCCGGGACCGTCTCTTTGCAAGCTCTGTGGCATTGTCACTTTTCATTTAAGATCAGCTTCTTCACAACCACTTCTTAATGAACTTAATCAGATTAATTGCATTTAGTCACATCTGTTCATGATTGTTTCCCCTTTTACACTCCATAGAAATCATGAAATTAAGCTAATACACACCATTATCAGCTGCAAAGAACACGTTCTACAGTGTTACACCTTTTAATTCCCAGTAGGAGATTCAGGCTCGTTTTTCCTTAATGTGGAAAAGGTAGTAACTTAAATGGATTTCTCTACAGTTTTTGCCAAAAGATTAACCAGTTTATTAAAACATAACAGTTAATGATTTTGTTGATGGCAGTTCTTGTTATAGTGTTAAAAAACATTTCTTGCTCTGAGCATTGTAGCTCAATTGGTTGGGTGTTGTCCCGCAAACCAAAAGTTCAGCGGCTGGATTCCTGGTCAAAGCACATGCCTGGGTTGCAGGTTTCGTCCCTGGTCCGTTGGGGTGTGCATACAAGGCCACTAAGAGATGTTTCTCTCACACATCGATGTTTCTCTTCCCCTCTTTTTCCCTCCCTTCCCCACTCTCTAAAAATAAACAAAACCCAAACATTTCTTAAGTGAAGCTGTGGGATAGAATAAAAAGTTGTTTTTGTTTTGTTTAATAGACTACATATAACATTGCCAGGTAAAATATAAGGTTCCCAGTTAAATTGGAACTTTAGAAAAATAAGAAATTATTTTTTAACTATGTTCCACACAGTATTTTGACGTGCTTAGACTAAAAATTTTCAGTACTATATACAGGATGGGGCAAAAGTAGGTTTACAGTTGTTAGTTCATGAAACACAGAGTTTGTTCTTGTATTATTATTTATTCAGTATTGTATCTTTTTCCATATAAACCACTGCAACCCTACTTGAGTCCCACCCCGTCTTTATGTTAAGAATGAACTGTTTATCTGAATTCAGATTTAATTGATGTCCTGTGCTTTTTGTATCTGACCCAACGGCCCTGCTCCCCGGGACGGCCAAGCTGACCCACGGCGGGGTTTCTCGTGTGTCTGCGCAGGGGACGACGAGCAGAGTGACTGGTTTTACGAAAAGGAGTCGGGCGGCGCATGCGGCATCACGGGAGTCGTGCCCTGGTGGGAGAAGGAGGACCCAGCCGAGCTAGACAAGAACTTACCGGACCCCGTCTTTGAGAGTATCTTAACGGGCTCTTTCCCACTCATGTCGCATCCCGGGAGAAGAGGTCAGTAGTGCGTCCTGACGGCTGGGTGCCGGGGGCTCGTGGCCAGCCTAGGAGTGGTCGCAGCCACGGAGGGCGGAACGGCTGAGATGGAAACGAGGAGCCCAAGCCTGCACTGGCTGTGCTTTCGAACTCTCAGGAAGGTTGACTTGCATTCCCGCCAGGCCCACTCTGACAGAAAGGGGAGGAGTCGGGAGGAAAGAAAACCCTGATGCTTAAATAACCAGTGGCTGTGTGCTGACCACGTTTAGAACCCTGCCTGGCATCGAGTCTGATTTTTTATTAATGAGTATGAGCTTCACCTCTTCCCCACTGCTATTGGGCGTGTTTTCCCTCCTGCCACTTACTTTTTGAAGCTGCAATTGATAGCATCTTATTCTGTGCTCCAGATCCTAGAATCTCCTGATCCAGGTTCTTTGATTTTTCCAGGTTTCCAAGCTAGACTCAGCCGCCTTCATGGGATGTCTTCCAAGAATATTAAAAAATCTGGAGGGACCCCCACTTCAATGGTAGGCATGCTTTTTTACTTGATTTTTGTCATGTTTGGAAATGTATCCATTTCTATGGAATAAAAAGCCACATCCTCATCCTTGATTCCTATGCTAATGTTATACTTAAAAACAATCCATTTTTTTGTAGGCTACACACTGGACCCGTGAGATTCCCCTATAAACCAAATCTTCTAATGCTAATAAATTAGTTACGTTTTGAACATCTGGGGAATGGCACTCGAGGGAACCTGGCTCCTGTCCTCTGCCCCCGGAGGAATGTCACTGAACTGAAAGATGGGGCTGTTTTTGCTGGAGGACTGGTATTCTTCCTCTAGTCAGACGCGCATCTGGTTGGGGAGCTTTCTAGGGACCTAGGTTGGCCCAGGGTGGGTAGGAACTACTGTACATTTTATATATTTTTCTCTTTTATGATTTTTTTTACATTGAAACCATTTATGTATCACTTGCTTTGCCAAACTGCTAACAAAAGCTAGAAAATTAAAACCGTCCAGATACCATATAAAAGTATTCCTTAATGTTTATATTGTGACTGGTTAAGAGCTAATTTTTACCTTATCTGACTGTTGTAAATAAAAAATGCAATGCATTAACATTTATGGTTCATTTTTAGAGAAATCTTATATAACCAGCGTTATTTAAAATATTTGCATTTTACTCAGGGTATTTTAACAAGGGCTAAGATGAGTAGTAGGTAAGGTTGATCATTTTTGCTAGAGTTTGTATTTTGTTTAAGTTTGCTTTCTACTTGGATAATCTGCTCTGTATTGCAAACTCATTGTATTTTATTCTATAGTATTCATTGTACTGCCAACAGCAGCCGACTTTTAAACTAGCCACCGTGGTAACTAGTCTGTGCTAGTATAATCATTTACTATTATCTTTAAATTATGTGTTTTGTCTGAGACCTGAAACCAATCAAGATGATCACTTTGGTGTAGAGCTTACTGAACTCATGTGAAACCAGATATTGCAACAAACACTGTATAACTCTGAATCACATTGTCGTGTTTAAAAGTGAGAGCTGTGTGCTCCTTCTTGGAGTGACCGACCGCATGTGTCACTGAGTCAGGAGTGCTGGTGTGAGCTCATTTTCACCAAGCAGAGGGAAACGTCACATTTCTGTTGATAGTACAATTTAGACGCTATGCTGCGTGCAGGCCATTGGAGTTTTGCAGAATGGTTATATTAAAATGATCAATATTTTTATTAAGTTCCAATAATGGATGAAAACTGTGATTTAATACATGTATTTTTATATTATTGTATGGATTGTTAATTCGTCATTTAATGGCTAACTTAAATATGAAGCTTGGAAAAGAAACTCAAAGTTGACATTTTCCTTACACAGACTTATCAAATCTGAAAGATTTCAGCAAAGGTGTTAAGTGGGAATATGTGACATCTTTTAGATTGCTTCTCAAAAACTGGAGAGTTGAAAAAGGTAAAGTGCAACTTTGAGTCTCTTTACCTTTGCATATTTAAAGTGATTTTTTAGAGGTACAATAATGTGGTGTTTCGTAATTGTAAGTGAGCTTTTCTGTGCTATGTCTTTTGCAGTGAAAATTCATGATTTCCCCCCTTGAATTATACAAATGCTTTTATTTTGTATAATGACTGTCTTTTGGATCTGAACAAGTCACTTTAAAACCTTGGCCTATGAACTTTGCCTTACCAATCATGAATCTAGATGTATGCTGTCTAGTTCTTGGTTCAGTTTTACCTACTTTTATTTTTGGTTCACTGCTTGCTTGAGCATAGCTGGGATTTGTAGCCCATTTTCTAGGCTTATTGCAATCTCGCTGTGGTATTTTATAGAAGCTATTACAACTGATAGGCTAGCTTCATGGTATTGATGATACATGGCTTAACCATAGTAAAAGCTGCCTTTCCTCTCTAAATTGTAAAAAGGTGATTAAGTCTCACTTGATGGAGATATACTATATATGTGTGTGTTTATCATGAAACCAGTGCATTGGGCCATAAACTGTTTTCCTGGTTTACGTTTTTTGTATTCAGAATTTTACTGAAGACAATGGGCTTTTTCAGGTTTCTTTTTCTCAACCCTGAATTGTCCTTGTTTGGATTTTTAAGTACTGTAATTTTTTTTTCAATAAAATATCTTGCTTGGACAAGAAAGGTAAGAGTTCCGATTTGTGCTGATATTTTAAAATTCCTGTGCCACGCTTTTGTTTTTGTTGCTGCTCGTGCCGTGTCATTTCGAACAATTTAGTTTTTAAAGTCATAATCTCACAAAATAGTCATCACTGAACAGTACCCATGACATCCAGCAATAATAAATGAAGTTTAATTCCTTAGATTTTTCACATTGGAAAGCCACATTGCTTTTAAGGGAGATTAACTCTCTGGGCACAGAGAGACACATGAATCTGCAACTACTAAAAAGAATGGTAACAAAAGGTTTTTTGTTTTAAGCTGCTGAGTGATAACCGCACAAATATAATGATGGTCTTTGAAGGAAGTGACAGAAGGAGAATCTTTTGCTGAAATGTGACTACAGATATTAGGGGGGGGGCAGAGTTTTCTATTGGCATTTTCACTCTTCACCATAATTTTGTTCTGCAGACACTGAGTTGGCAAATACTGAACTTGCTCCTAAGGGAAAAGCAGGGTTAGGTTCCTGTGAGCCAGTGATCCTGACATTTTCCTCAGTTAATCAATACATAATCCTGTCTTACGTATGTTTGTGTTTTAAAGACACCTTATTTAATATGTTGTTGATTCATTAACATGTAATTTATGGCCCACACCCTGTAACTCATGTTTGACCAAAGCAAACCTAGCACAGGTATTTTCCCCATAAGGCCCATCACAGCCTCAAGGGGTTGAGGACAGTAGACAATACTACAGCCTTGTGGCTGGGGGACATTTAAAAGCAGTGAGTCAGTCACAAACAAAAAGCACAGTAGCGTGAGAAAGGGGACATTAAAACCACAAAGAAGTCACTAGCTTAGAGCATGAGAGCTAAGCACGCAGGTAGAGCAGTGCCTTCTTTGCCCCCGTGGGGAGTGTGCCTGCCCATCGGGACCCAGGCTCCCCTTGCTGTGCACGCATCCGTCTGCGAATGAGCTGATTTGGAAGGCGGCGAGTGCTGATTTGGGGTTACAGACGAATTTTAGCCAGTATGCAAGCTCACACACATGGAGCCTGGACGTAGGAATGAGCATCCACGCTACTTGGTTTTGTAGAAAGCCAGGTGGTTTTGTAGAACACATACAGGTTTTGAAGTCAGACCTTTGTGAATCTCCCCTGTAGTTTTTCTTTTTTACTTGTAATTACAGTTTGAACCTTACTTTATCTTTCTCCTGGACAAAGACAAGAATTTTTGTGCCAAAGTGTTATCAGGACTGAATGAGATTCTGTTTACATAGAGGGTCTAGCATCAACTCTGTCACATAGTGTAGATTAAATAAATGATTGTTACTGTTATGGTTGGATACATTAAACACAGAAGCTCCTGACTGAGAAAACATCTGTATCAAGGGTCAAAGTGCAGAACTTCAGACTTTAAAACTTCTCTGTTCATAGTTTATACATAATATACCTCAATATTTACAGTGCTATATGTTACAGCCTTTTTGATTTTTTATACCTCATTTATAGTTGAGTTGTCCATTGTCTTTAATATGGTCTGTGAAGAACAATTTTGATTTATTTTTGGATTTACAGCTATTGCATTAAATATCAAAACTTAATTACAAACTAAAAAACTGTTCTAATCACTTCTTTTTTCCTACCCCCAATTATTAAGTTATTCATTTGTAAGAAAGTCCATACTGTTTAGGAGTTTTGGGCCCAGAGTTATCTGACTTTTAAGAATAACTTTGTCCCTGTACATGAAGGGTTAATGCAGACAGTCCTGAGAATTTAAGTTGAGAGGAATTAACTACTGTGGTCTTTCTGTTAGAATAAAACAGAAGTTTACCGAAGTGCAGATAACCAGCCCTTAATCTTCACCTTTTTTTAGGAGAATTAAGCAAATGATAATCCCAAAGGATATTCTGGGGCTATCATCCAGAATTTGTGCTCAAGTACAATTCAGAACAATAATCTTCAGGAAAATGATCCATCCCAGAACCAGTTTGGAGATACCGTGTTTACTAAGTGACTCTGGTTAACCTGACTTAAGCACAGTATTTCAGCTAGCCAGGACACCCGGCTCCTGAGTACCCTAAGTAGTCCATGCTTTCTGTAGAGGTTGTTTTTATTCTTTTTTTAAAACTGATGTTCTTTCAACAGGTGTTACTTTTTATTTGTTAGCATTCGTATAGAAGTCTGTTGAAAGATTAGAAATTAAATGGGTCCATTTAAAATTCAATACCTGAAATCCAATGTAAATATTACATAAGAGTTACTGGATTCTATCTGAAAGTTTTATAAAATTGGATTCTATCTCAAAGTTTTATAAACTGTTTCTAGTTTTTCATATGATCAGAACAAAGAAAAGGATGGAGGGGGTGGTGGTGGTGATTTTGTGTAAAAAAAAAGAAAAAGAAAAAGAAAAAAGTTCACCTGACTCTTATTTACACGTTTATCAAGTTTAAGTATCTGAAAAAAATGATGTGAATGTCAACCCTTAACGTAAATTGTCACGCCACACGTGTAAGCAGACAGTTTCTATTCAACAGTCCAGGGGCTTGCATCTGTTCAGAATCTGGAGTCAGTTCATTCTTAGGGAGAAAAGGGATTTTCTATATTTTTTCTTTTACTATGAAGTCATGGGAGGCCTGATTTCACAAGTGGTATATTGATCATGATAATGATACTATAATGATTTACTCTGTATGTCTTGCTCAACCTGTATCTTATTTTTTCTTAGGATACTCAAGTAGGAATATTTAGTCTGATTTATAGCCTTTTACAACAGAAGGGCCATTTTAAATGGATTTGGTTTAAATAAGGGAACTACATAGACTTTTCTCCTAGACTATTCTAAGATAAAGGAGAAATTTTTATAACAGAAAACAAATCTGAAATGG